TTACAGGTGATGTCATCAGCTTGTGTCTCTGTCTGTGCATGATGTCAGGTTATTCTGTGTGTTACAGGTGATGTCATCAGCTTGTGTCTCTGTCTGTGCATGATGTCAGGTTATTCTGTGTGTTACAGGTGATGTCATCAGCTTGTGTCTCTGTCTGTGCATGATGTCATGTTATTCTGTGTGTTACAGGTGATGTCATCAGCTTGTGTCTCTGTCTGTGCATGATGTCAGGTTATTCTGTGTGTTACAGGCGATGTATCAGCTTGTTTCTCTGGCTGTGCATGATGTCAGGTTATTCTGTGTGTTACAGGCGATGTCATCAGCTTGTGTCTCTGTGTGCATGATGTCAGGTTATTCTGTGTGTTACAGGCGATGTCATCAGCATGTTTGTTGTCTCTCTAGTTGTGCATGATGTCAGGTTATTCTGTGTGTTACAGGCGATGTCATCAGCATGTTTGTTGTGTCTCTGTCTGTGCATGATGTCAGGTTATTCTGTGTGTTACAGGCGATGTCATCAGCATGTTTGTTGTGTCTCTGTCTGTGCATGATGTCAGGTTATTCTGTGTGTTACAGGTGATGTATCAGCTTGTGTCTCTGTCTGTGCATGATGTCAGGTTATTTTGTGTGTTACAGGCGATGTCATCAGCATGTTTGTTGTCTCTCTAGTTGTGCATGATGTCAGGTTATTCTGTGTGTTACAGGCGATGTCATCAGCATGTTTGTTGTCTCTCTGTCTGTGCATGATGTCAGGTTATTCTGTGTGTTACAGGTGATGTATCAGCTTGTGTCTCTGTCTGTGCATGATGTCAGGTTATTCTGTGTGTTACAGGCGATGTCATCAGCATGTTTGTTGTCTCTCTGTCTGTGCATGATGTCAGGTTATTCTGTGTGTTACAGGCGATGTCATCAGCTTGTGTCTCTTTCTGTGCATGATGTCAGGTTATTCTGTGTGTTACAGGCGATGCATCAGCTTGTGTCTCTGGTTGTGCATGATGTCAGGTTATTCTGTGTGTGACAGGCGATGCATCAGCTTGTGTCTCTGTCTGTGCATGATGTCAGGTTATTCTGTGTGTTACAGGCGATGTCATCAGCTTGTGTCTCTGTCTGTGCATGATGTCAGGTTATTCTGTGTGTTACAGGCGATGCATCAGCTTGTGTCTCTGGTTGTGCATGATGTCAGGTTATTCTGTGTGTGACAGGCGATGCGTCAGCTTGTGTCTCTGTCTGTGCATGATGTCAGGTTATTCTGTGTGTTACAGGTGATGTCATCAGCTTGTGTCTCTGTCTGTGCATGATGTCAGGTTAATCTGTGTGTTACAGGCGATGTCATCAGCTTGTTTTTTGTCTCTCTAGTTGTGCATGATGTCAGGTTATTCTGTGTGTTACAGGTGATGTCATCAGCTTGTGTCTCTGTCTGTGCATGATGTCAGGTTATTCTGTGTGTTACAGGTGATGTCATCAGCTTGTGTCTCTGTCTGTGCATGATGTCAGGTTATTCTGTGTGTTACAGGTGATGTCATCAGCTTGTGTCTCTGTCTGTGCATGATGTCAGGTTATTCTGTGTGTTACAGGTGATGTCATCAGCTTGTGTCTCTGTCTGTGCATGATGTCAGGTTATTCTGTGTGTTACAGGCGATGTATCAGCTTGTTTCTCTGGCTGTGCATGATGTCAGGTTACTCTGTGTGTTACAGGCGATGTCATCAGCTTGTGTCTCTGGCTGTGAATGATGTCAGGTTATTCTGTGTGTTACAGGTGATGTCATCAGCTTGTGTCTCTGTCTGTGCATGATGTCATGTTATTCTGTGTGTTACAGGCGATGTCATCAGCTTGTTTTTTGTCTCTCTAGTTGTGCATGATGTCAGGTTATTCTGTGTGTTACAGGCGATGTATCAGCTTGTGTCTCTGTCTGTGCATGATGTCAGGTTATTCTGTGTGTTACAGGCGATGTATCAGCTTGTGTCTCTGTCTGTGCATGATGTCAGGTTATTCTGTGTGTTACAGGCGATGTATCAGCTTGTGTCTCTGTCTGTGCATGATGTCAGGTTATTCTGTGTGTTACAGGCGATGTATCAGCTTGTTTCTCTGGCTGTGCATGATGTCAGGTTACTCTGTGTGTTACAGGCGATGTCATCAGCTTGTGTCTCTGGCTGTGAATGATGTCAGGTTATTCTGTGTGTTACAGGTGATGTCATCAGCTTGTTTGTTGTCTCTCTGTCTGTGCATGATGTCAGGTTATTCTGTGTGTTACAGGCGATGTATCAGCTTGTGTCTCTGTCTGTGCATGATGTCAGGTTATTCTGTGTGTTACAGGCGATGTATCAGCTTGTGTCTCTGTCTGTGCATGATGTCAGGTTATTCTGTGTGTTACAGGCGATGTATCAGCTTGTGTCTCTGTCTGTGCATGATGTCAGGTTATTCTGTGTGTTACAGGCGATGTATCAGCTTGTTTCTCTGGCTGTGCATGATGTCAGGTTACTCTGTGTGTTACAGGCGATGTCATCAGCTTGTGTCTCTGGCTGTGAATGATGTCAGGTTATTCTGTGTGTTACAGGTGATGTCATCAGCTTGTGTCTCTGTCTGTGCATGATGTCATGTTATTCTGTGTGTTACAGGCGATGTCATCAGCTTGTTTTTTGTCTCTCTAGTTGTGCATGATGTCAGGTTATTCTGTGTGTTACAGGCGATGTATCAGCTTGTGTCTCTGTCTGTGCATGATGTCAGGTTATTCTGTGTGTTACAGGCGATGTATCAGCTTGTGTCTCTGTCTGTGCATGATGTCAGGTTATTTTGTGTGTTACAGGCGATGTATCAGCTTGTTTCTCTGGCTGTGCATGATGTCAGGTTACTCTGTGTGTTACAGGCGATGTCATCAGCTTGTGTCTCTGGCTGTGCATGATGTCAGGTTATTCTGTGTGTTACAGGTGATGTCATCAGCTTGTTTGTTGTCTCTCTAGTTGTGCATGATGTCAGGTTATTCTGTGTGTTACAGGCGATGTATCAGCTTGTGTCTCTGTCTGTGCATGATGTCAGGTTATTCTGTGTGTTACAGGCGATGTATCAGCTTGTTTCTCTGGCTGTGCATGATGTCAGGTTACTCTGTGTGTTACAGGCGATGTCATCAGCTTGTGTCTCTGGCTGTGAATGATGTCAGGTTATTCTGTGTGTTACAGGTGATGTCATCAGCTTGTTTGTTGTCTCTCTGTCTGTGCATGATGTCAGGTTATTCTGTGTGTTACAGGCGATGTATCAGCTTGTGTCTCTGTCTGTGCATGATGTCAGGTTATTCTGTGTGTTACAGGCGATGTCATCAGCATGTTTGTTGTCTCTCTGTCTGTGCATGATGTCAGGTTATTCTGTGTGTTACAGGCGATGTATCAGCTTGTGTCTCTGTCTGTGCATGATGTCAGGTTATTCTGTGTGTTACAGGCGATGTATCAGCATGTTTGTTGTCTCTCTAGTTGTGCATGATGTCAGGTTATTCTGTGTGTTACAGGCGATGTCATCAGCTTGTGTCTCTGGCTGTGAATGATGTCAGGTTATTCTGTGTGTTACAGGTGATGTATCAGCTTGTGTCTCTGTCCGTGCATGATGTCAGGTTATTCTGTGTGTTACAGGCGATGTATCAGCTTGTGTCTCTGTCTGTGCATGATGTCAGGTTATTCTGTGTGTTACAGGCGATGTCATCAGCTTGTTTGTTGTTTCTCTGGCTGTGCATGATGTCAGGTTATTCTGTGTGTTACAGGCGATGTCATCAGCTTGTGTCTCTCTGGCTGTGAATGATGTCAGGTTATTCTGTGTGTTACAGGCAATGTCATCAGCTTGTTTGTTGTCTCTCTGTCTGTGCATGATGTCAGGTTATTCTGTGTGTTACAGGCAATGTATCAGCTTGTGTCTCTGTCTGTGCATGATGTCAGGTTATTCTGTGTTACAGGCGATGTATTAGCTTGTGTCTCTGTCTGTGCATGATGTCAGGTTATTCTGTGTGTGACAGGCGATGTCATCAGCTTGTTTGTTGTCTCTCTGTGTGTGCATGATGTCAGGTTATTCTGTGTGTTACAGGCGATGTCATCAGCTTGTGTCTCTGTGTGCATGATGTCATGTTATTCTGTGTTACAGGCGATGTATCAGCTTGTGTCTCTGTCTGTGCATGATGTCAGGTTATTCTGTGTGTTACAGGCGATGTCATCAGCTTGTGTCTCTGGCTGTGTATGATGTCAGGTTATTCTGTGTGTTACAGGCGATGTCATCAGCTTGTGTCTCTGTGTGCATGATGTCAGGTTATTCTGTGTTACAGGCGATGTATCAGCTTGTGTCTCTGTCTGTGCATGATGTCAGGTTATTCTGTGTGTTACAGGCGATGTCATCAGCTTGTGTCTCTGGCTGTGCATGATGTCAGGTTATTCTGTGTGTTACAGGCGATGTCATCAGCTTGTGTCTCTGTCTGTGCATGATGTCAGGTTATTCTGTGTGTTACAGGCGATGTCATCAGCTTGTTTGTTGTTTCTCTGGCTGTGCATGATGTCAGGTTATTCTGTGTGTTACAGGTGATGTCATCAGCTTGTGTCTCTGGCTGTGCATGATGTCAGGTTATTCTGTGTGTTACAGGCGATGTCATCAGCTTGTTTGTTGTTTCTCTGGCTGTGCATGATGTCAGGTTATTCTGTGTGTTACAGGCGATGTCATCAGCTTGTTTGTTGTTTCTCTGGCTGTGCATGATGTCAGGTTATTCTGTGTGTTACAGGCGATGTCATCAGCTTGTGTCTCTGGCTGTGCATGATGTCAGGTTATTCTGTGTGTTACAGGCGATGTCATCAGCTTGTTTGTTGTTTCTCTGTCTGTGCATGATGTCAGGTTATTTTGTGTGTTACAGGCGATGTCATCAGCTTGTTTGTTGTTTCTCTGGCTGTACATGATGTCAGGTTATTCTGTGTGTTACAGGCGATGTCATCAGCTTGTGTCTCTGTCTGTGCATGATGTCAGGTTATTCTGTGTGTTACAGGCGATGTCAGAAGGGCTGTGAATGCTGCTGAGGCTAACATGAAATCAACATTGAGCATCTCCTACTCTGTGTCATCTTCCCCAACACCATCAACCCCACCATCTCCACCAACCACAACCTCTCCCTCAGCGTCGCTGTCCCAGACAACTCACATTCCCATCACTCGTACGATCTCCATAAAGCCATCTCCCACCGCTTCAGGAACAGCTATCTCTCCGTCACATACATACCAGATCTCTTCCAGTGAGAGTGACCTCACCTCTACAGCACATATCTCCCCAACTCATACCTCTGTTCTTTCTTCTTCAATTGCATCCTCTCCTGTAGCAGAGACCTCGTCTGCAGCACCGCCAACATCATCCAGAGTGCTTGACACCACCACACCACCAGGTAGGCACAGATAGATGTTAGGCATTAAAATCTGTTTTTGTCAGCTAGTTTACAGATTGTTTTCTCAAGACATCTGGTCGGCTGGCATTTAGAAGTGATACACATAAGAAGAGAATTATGGATGTCAACTTCCTTATTATGAGGAAGACAACGTTTCGGAGTATATGCTTACTCCTTCATCAGGTGAATGAATGCCATGAGGCAGAGAGCATATATATGTACATGATTATTGGGTTTTATTTTATTGCTATATTTAGAAAAGGCAGTAAAACAATCTTTCCAAAATTGGTTTTTAGTTTTTTTAGCAAGCTTAAGTGGGAAATCACTTCCCATAAATAGTAGATCAGGAAATTCAGGAGTAGTATCAGTCATTAAAATTTTCCATTTCTTTTCCAAATCAACATTTAGTAACTTTTTTATCCAGATTATTTTCAAAGCGTCAACATATGCAAAAATATCTATCATACCAAGTCCTCCAAGGGAAATAGGTTTACAAGCAACTGTTCTCTTTATTTTGTCTGGTTTATTATCCCATAAAAACTTGAAAAGAATAGTATTTATCTTTCTAAGGAATTCATCTGGGGGACTAGGAAGGGTAAGGAAAAGGAAATTAAGTTTTGAAATGAGCATTGATTTGATAATTGCAAAATGAGGTTATATATTATTACCAACTAGAAAAATATAGACACTTTAATAAAGCCAAACAGACTGAATTCTATACGAAATGGGCTCCTTATGAAAACCTTTTGAAAATATAAACATTTGCTATTCCAAAACTTTACTAAATATATATCCTGCATCCTGTCTTCATAAGTACTAAAGCTTCTAGTGAGTGTGAATGTGTGTATGGATGTGTGCGAATGATATGTACTTTCTGAAAAAACCCTGGTCATGTATTTTGACTCTCATCCAAACATGATGTACTTTTACCAGGAACAATAAAAAAAAAAAATAAAAAAAAAAATAAAAAAAATATATATGTACATGTAAGGACAACAACAAATTTTTGTTGTTGTAAGCATATCCTGAAAAACGTTGTTTTCCTCATAAAAAAGAAGTTGACAATAACAACACAATTATGGAGTCTTGATATTTTTTTAGTCACCTGACTGAAAGTCAAATGAGCTTATGTCATGGCACGCTGTCTACCTTCCAATTGTCTACCCATCTGTCCGTCATTAACTTTGTCATTTTCGACACCTCTTTTGAAGTTACAAGGCCTATGAAGCTAAACTTTTTTCGAATGATCCTACCTATGGTGTCTCTAAAAACTGCTCACAGAATTCAGATCCAACTGTAAACGTAGCGGCCACGTTAAAATGCCATTTTTGCCTGTTACTAAGCCGTTTCTGCATGAAGTATATGGTATGTGGAATAACATGATATGACCTTTGACCTTCACATACCTCCATTTTTGTAGTGTTACTGAATTTTCAGTGTCTCCTCTAAAACTGCAAGGCCTAAGCTGAAACTGTGAATGAATGCCCACGGAATTCCAATCTGACTGTAAACATGGCTGCCATTATTTTTCATAATTTCAGCTTTGGCGACAGAGCCTTGTGGCTCTGTTTCTTTTTCGGTAATTTTGCAAATTCTGCACAAACCAGATGAGCTGCAGAGTCTTACAGCTGTGTGTCTAGTTAGCATGTAAGTTGTCAGGAATTGTATGAGCTGCCTTGGTCGAGATTGCAGTACAAACAGGGTATATGTTGGAAGGGTCTGTCTACAGGGAGGTCAAATTATAGGCAGGGTCATGTAAGTTGTAGCAGGGTCACGTGGGGTATATGGGTTCTTTTGCATCCTGCATTAGGTTTTATACCATGAGCCGGATCAGGCTACAACAAATTTATCTTACCAACATGTTTTGATATGACATGGTAAAAGAATTCAAACAAATTCAAAATTGATAGAAAACAGCTGTTCGATTGAGCAGAGGTTAACTTGCGCTTTGTCACATGACTTCTATTGACATGGAAAAAGCGTGCAGATTTTTGCTTTGAAGCAGGCTTTTTAGGGATTTATTTTGCCTCTCAGAAATCCACATGCAGCTTTACTTGCTTGTGGTGGGGTATAAGAGGGTTTATTTGCCCTCTGAAAAATTTATTCCCCTCCTGGGTGGGATGCATTGTTTTTTATCAAGATCATGTGGACCAATCAGATTTCATCATTCTGACATGGAGGTATGATAATATTATTTGTATGTACTAAGATCCTTTTGCTTACTATTGCCCCTGATGTTGACATGTGTATATTACTCCAGCATGTGGGTCTGACCAGCTCCGCTGTGACAGTGGTCAGTGTGTAGACGGCAGCTCCAGGTGCAACAGGAAGATTGAATGCTTTGACCAGTCTGATGAAACCTCCTGTTCAGGTTTGTAACTTACCATTGTTTGACTCTGGAATAAGGATTTATTCCTGTTTGACTAGTGAAACAAGTCAGAGGTGATCAAAACAAGATGTCCAAGTCACCTCAAACAATAGTTGCTTTTCAGGTCTCCTGACTTGAAGTCAAGTGACCTAGTGTCATACTTGTAGCGATATCTCCTGTGGAAGCCAGTGTTGGATGATAAAATTAATTTTCATACAGCAACATTTTCCCAGCCACTGACATGTGATGATTCTATTCCAGAATGTCAGCAGTCAGGAGGCTACCAGTGTGCCTCAGGCCTGTGTTTGTGGGACGGCAAGCGCAGATGCAATGGACGCTTTGACTGTGCCGACCTTAGTGATGAACTCAACTGTCGTAAGTTAATAATACTTTGAACTTATTAAGAGGCGACTAACGGGATCGGGTGGTCAGGCTCTCTGACTTGGTTGATGCATGTCATCCCAGGTCAGTGTTACTTTAGGAATGTTATTTTTTATGGTGTATGATTTTTTTTCATATTTGACAAAATAATATACTGAACAAAAAAAAGTTAGGAATTGTGAATATTTATGGGGATATTTTTATGAAATGGTGTGCTCAGTCTTCACTATGAAAGAATATCCCCCAAAATATTCATGACCCCTAACTTTTATTGTTCAGTATATATCATTTACTCATTCAGTCATTTCTAGTAACAACCAAGTAATAATGTTTTGAATGTGCATGTATTTCTCAGCAGCCTTTAAGTTCACTCTAGTCTGCTTAACCCAGACTACCAGATTGTGCTGAGGACAAGTCAAAAATTCTCATTGATTAGTAGCATTTGAGGACTATTATTCTGTCCAGTTCTCAATGCTTCAGTTTCACTACTAATTGGAAGTCAAGAAAACTGACAGAAAATGTAAACATAGTAAACATGTTTGTTTCATTCATGAAGGACTGGCTACAAACTCTGAGGACAGTAAAATAACATTTACACTAGTCCTCTGAATGATGACTTCACATATTGGAGCTAGTTTTCAGTCCTACTTGCACTTGGTTGGGTAGTCCAGTGGTTAAAGCAATTCCCAAAGTTCAGGTTAAAATCCCTAAATGTCACTGGATCTGGTGCTAGAATAGAACTTTCAAATAGTTCTCAGGTCCCCTTGCACTCTGGAGCAGAGGGGTAGTCTAGTTGTTAAAGCGTTTGCTTGTCATGCCAAAGGCCTGTGTTCTATTCCCTGCATGGCTACAATGTGTATACATTTCTGGTGCCCCTACCATGATGTTGCTGAAATATTGGTTAACAGCAAAACGCCATCTCCCTCCTTTGCCCTTTGTCAGCTCTATCATATGTTGAGACAAAATCTTTTAGGAGATGCTTTCTCTGGAATCTATTTATATGTATACCTGGGCAGGGGTTGCACTTATGTTTAATGCTAGATGTCTTTGCACAGTACAGGTCAATGAATGTTATGACTAGGTATTGTTTTCCTTATCCAACATCTCCTACCTTTCCCCATTTCTTGCACCAGGTTGTTACATTTGACACAAATATGATGAGGAACTCAAATATCATCAACCTTATGTTCAGGGTCCCCTGTGGGGATTCAAGACGATGTACATTTTACACAAATATGATGAGGAACTCAAATATCATCAACCTTATGTTCAGGGTCCCCTGTGGGGATTCAAGACGATGTACATTTGACACAAGTATGATGAGGAACTCAAATATCATCAACCTTATGTTCAGGGTTCCCTGTGGGGATTCAAGACGATGTACATTTGACACAAGTATGATGAGGAACTCAAATATCATCAACCTTATGTTCAGGGTTCCCTGTGGGGATTCAAGACGATGTACATTTTACACAAGTATGATGAGGAACTCAAATATCATCAACCTTATGTTCAGGGTTCCCTGTGGGGATTCAAGACGATGTACATTTTACACAAGTATGATGAGGAACTCAAATATCATCAACCTTATGTTCAGGGTCCCCTGTGGGGATTCAAGACGATGTACATTTTACACAAATATGATGAGGAACTCAAATATCATCAACCTTATGTTCAGGGTCCCCTGTGGGGATGCAAGACGATGTACATTTTACACAAATATGATGAGGAACTCAAATATCATCAACCTTATGTTCAGGGTCCCCTGTGGGGATTCAAGACGATGTACATTTTACACAAATATGATGAGGAACTCAAATATCATCAACCTTATGTTCAGGGTTCCCTGTGGGGATTCAAGACGATGTACATTTTACACAAGTATGATGAGGAACTCAAATATCATCAACCTTATGTTCAGGGTTCCCTGTGGGGATTCAAGACGATGTACATTTTACACAAGTATGATGAGGAACTCAAATATCATCAACCTTATGTTCAGGGTTCCCTGTGGGGATTCAAGACGATGTACATTTTACACAAGTATGATGAGGAACTCAAATATCATCAACCTTATGTTCAGGGTCCCCTGTGGGGATTCAAGACGATGTACATTTTACACAAATATGATGAGGAACTCAAATATCATCAACCTTATGTTCAGGGTCCCCTGTGGGGATGCAAGACGATGTACATTTTACACAAATATGATGAGGAACTCAAATATCATCAACCTTATGTTCAGGGTCCCCTGTGGGGATTCAAGACGATGTACATTTGACACAAGTATGATGAGGAACTCAAATATCATCAACCTTATCATGCTTATGTTCAGGGTCCCCTGTGGGGATTCAAGACGATGTAAACGGTATCCTGTTGATAAAAAGACGATGGTTCAGTATTGGCTGTACTTTCACCTAGGCTAAATGCAACAATGTTCAATCATGACACAATGCCCAACATGTCTGAAAGTAGGGCTGGGGCGAGTCCAAATCTTTTACCCGGGTACCCAACCCCCTTTTACTTGACCCTGCCCAGGTACCCACTGTAGGTCTCAAGAGGAATTATAATAGATATATGGTCTCTTATGAAACGATCGAATCATGCATACACTGAAGTTGACTGAAGCTTTATCTTTACTCAAACATATACAAGTCAAAAAGAATGTGTGCATCGTCAGAAAGAAATGCAAACATTAGTGACTTGTAGTGTAACCACTGAGCTATAGTGAGTTTTTGTCATTAAACGATATATCACGTGACTAACCACGGGTCCAGGCAGTACTGTGGGTACCCGGGCCCTACTCAGGACCCACCCGACCCTAGTAACCTAGTACCCGAGTTACCCGTCCCAGCCCAATCTGAAAGAGATCAACCTGTAAGTAGCCATTAGTGTTTTTCACTTTTTTCAAAGGAAAAGTTTCGGGCAACAACAAATTCAGTTGTCATTTGCCATGTGGGTTTTTGACAAATTTAGAACCCCAGCTGTCAACTGTCACATTTCTGATTCATATGCATATTTTCATGTTTTCTTCAGCTCGGAGAAGCAATTACCATGTGTGCAAGAATGGAATGCAGATTATACAAGGGCTGGTGTGCAACGGCGTTGATGACTGTTATGACAACAGTGATGAAGAGGACTGTCGTAAGTTTCTATGGTTACATAACATGTTATATTGAATATTCTCCATTTGTTTAATGCTGTGTATGCTGTCAACGTACAGTACAACCAACTCCATGGGACCATGAGAAACAGTTTGTCCAACCATTATTCAATCTGAGCCAATCTCATTAAAATCAGATTCTCGTTCTCGCTACCGCTAAACAAAGATCTGAGGACATCCCATTACAGGTCACGTCAGACCGACCTTTCGCGACCTTTGACCAACCAATGGAATGACTGACAAGATGTCAACATTAGAAGGCATCTTTCTCGTGCTTTACGGCCCTAATTTCAAATTGGGGACTATGCTTCGAAACATATTTTGACAAGTTCTCAATAAACAATTTGAAACCTGAACGAAAGAACATTCTGGAATGGCTAATAGATGGCCTAGATTGTATGGATTCAGTTGTTAAGCCCTTAACTATCTCTGGAATACCCTGTGTTAAATTTTTCAAGGTTGCATGATTAGAAATCACATTCCGACTGTCACTTTCATGATCTGGTAAACGGCGCTCTGATTGGTTGGATGAAAGGTCGGTCTGATGTGACCCCGAATAGGATGTCCTTAGATCTTTGCTTAGCGGTAGCGAGAACTAAGATCTGATTTTAATGAGATTGGATTATGAGCATGCAGTACTCCTCCTGGGACAGGAGACTTGGATTCCTTTTGTTTCACTATTGACAACATTATTCCAGAATTGATTGTAGCTTTTTTCAGGGGATACTTTGTATCATTTCTCCTGTGTAACAATGAAAAGTAAGAAGAATGGCATGACCTGGTTGAATGTGTGTTAATATGCCACAATGTGACCTGGTTGAATGTGTGTTATTCAAGAAATAAACAGGTGGGAGTTGTTTATTGTACAATAAACAACGACCACTATTTGTTTATTTTATATATGAGACATCAACATCATGTACATCCTCTTTAAGCAAGTTAAAAAAGAACAAGCTTTGAAAATACTTTCCTGTATTTAAATAATGATGACACCCTGAATACAATTCGATCTTGGCAAGGTGGGACAAGTCATTTTGTGGGGAGTAGTTTGGTATTTCCTGGATATTCTCACAATTGTCACAGCGATTATCTGTGCCTTTTCTCCCAATACCAATTGTCATATCTCGCCCACTTTTGGATGGGATTGTTCAGCCATCGCTTTTATCTGCATTGCCCAGCTACATCTATGGGTTGGTTGGTTGGTTGGTTTGTTGTTTTACGCTGCACTCACACACTTACGACTTTATTCGCTCACAACTTGTATATTGGACGACGTTAATTTTGAGAGGGGAGTGTCTAGTGACATCTATGGGGAACAACTCACTAGACACTCCCCTCTCAAAAATAAAGTTGTCCAATATACAAGTTCTGAGTGCATGTTCGAATTTCCAGAAATGAAGTCATGATAGAACTCTGTTTTATCGTGAAATAAACCAAACTTCGTTCTTCATTCTTCTTTGCGATTTATCATGTAGCTATTGTATATTATACCACAAGGAAAGAGTGAGTTTAGATTTTACATTATGTCAGTATTTTGAAAGTCATATCCAACAAGACAATGTTATGGAAATAAAATATGTTATCAGTACATAAGTTGTATTTGATATTTAATCCCCAAACATATTTTAGCACAGCAATACTTATGTATAACCTTAAGAGACAGGCTGTATTGGTTGGTTTGTTTGTTTGTTTGTTGTTTAATGCCGCACTCAGCAGTATTCCAGCTATATGACAGCAGTCTGTAAATAATCAAGTCTGGACCGGACAGTCCAGTTATTGATATCATGAGCATCGATCCACACTAATGACATGCATCAACCAAGTCAGCAAGCCTGATCACACGATCCTGTTAGCCGCCTTTTACGACAAGGATTGTCACCTTTTACGGCAAGCATGGGTTACGGAAGACCTAATCTACCCCGGATCTTCACGGGTATTGCCACACCAGTTGAAAGTCACTTATACTGTAAGCCTCAAGGTGTCCTGGTTGAGAGGCAGTTATTACAACACTTAGATGGAGTATTGCTAGTACGATCACAACATTCACTCATTCTCTTGACAGAGGAAAATATGTTCAATCATTCTGTCTTAAATATAGTAATGCGCTTATTGAAATATCACATCAACCAAGTATGTGAGGTGTGAGGGCTTCAGCTGAATACCTACTTCAGTTTATGGAACACATTTTAATAGCTATATGCTCAAATGCTACCCATGATATTATAATTATCATAGACTCAATAGACTAAAGCTGTTTCCATCAGAGACACATCTGTACCTGTCGTTGAGCTTGGCTTACCACATGATCACTAAATCAATATCATCCAGCTTTCACTGGAAACATTGAAAGGCATGTTATGATAATTGCCAGTCATTAATGTTTGCTGTGGAGAACATGACGAATCCCGCTGTGCAAACGCATGTACATAGTGCATTCAGTAATAATTGTAAACACTAAGTACTTAGGACAGTTATTATTGCTGAACAAACATGGCCGAGGTATTTACAATGGTCATGGTTGCTGAACTCACAAGTGTTTTAGTACATTCTTTGCCCTGAGCTGTGCCATCATAGGTTTTGAATGTCTGTTGTGGGATTGTCTGTGTATACTTGGACAAAACTAAAGGTCATTTATGTGCAATAATGTGACATAAGTATTGACTGCGACATCACGATATGAGTATTCACACACATCCATGTGGTTAGAACATTCTGCAAACAAGTGTTTGTATCTGTCAAACATGTCCCCACGGACAATAGACAGTCAGGTTTTATCTAGGGTGTAACAGTGCTGTGTCATGTTTTAGTGTATCTAGGGTGTGACAGTGTCATGCCATGTTTCAGTGTATCCCAGGGTGTAACAGTGTCATGCCATGTTTCAGTGTATACCCGGGTATAACAGTGTCATGCCATGTTTCAGTGTATCCCAGGGTATAACAGTGTCATGCCGTGTTTCAGTGTGTCCCAGGGTGTCACAGTGTCATGCCATGTTTCAGTGTATGCCAGGGTGTTACGGTGTTATGCCATGTTTCAGTATATCCCAGGGTGTAACAGTGTCATGCCATGTTTCAGTGCATCCCAGGGTGTAACAGTGTCCTGCCATGTTTCAGTGTATCCCAGGGTGTAACAGTGTCATGCCATGTTTCAGTGCATCCCAGGGTGTAACAGTGTTCTGCCATGTGTCAGTGTGTCCCAGGGTGTAACAGTGTCATTATATTGCAGGGTGTCACTCAGGCCGTGTGCCCTGCCTGGATGGCAAGTGTATCATGAGGGAGTGGATGTGTGACGGCTACCCTGACTGTGTCAATGGCACGGATGAGGCAGGCTGCAGTATGTCATTTTCTTTCATTAGATGTATTACCGGTAGTTTACAGATGTATTACCGGTATAGTTTACAGATGTATTACCGGTATAGTTTACAGATGTATTACCAGTATAGTTTACAGATGTATTACCGGTATAGTTTACAGATGTATTTCCGGTACAGTTTACAGATGTATTACCAGTATAGTTTACAGATGTATTACCGGTAGTTTACAGATGTATTACCGGTATAGTTTACAGATGTATTTCCGGTACAGTTTACAGATGTATTACCGGTACAGTTTACAGATGTATTACCGGTACAGTTTACAGATGTATTACCGGTATAGTTTACAGATGTATTACCGGTATAGTTTACAGATGTATTACCGGTACAGTTTACAGATGTATTACCGGTATAGTTTACAGATGTATTTCCGGTACAGTTTACAGATGTATTACCGGTATAGTTTACAGATGTATTTCCGGTATAGTTTACAGATGTATTTCCGGTATAGTTTACAGATGTATTTCCGGTATAGTTTACAGATGTATTTCCGGTATAGTTTACAGATGTATTTCCGGTACAGTTTACAGATGTATTACCGGTACAGTTTACAGATGTATTACCGGTATAGTTTACAGATGTATTACCGGTATAGTTTACAGATGTATTACCGGTACAGTTTACAGATGTATTTCCGGTACAGTTTACAGATGTATTACCAGTATAGTTTACAGATGTATTACCGGTAGTTTACAGATGTATTACCGGTATAGTTTACAGATGTATTACCGGTACAGTTTACAGATGTATTACCGGTAGTTTACAGATGTATTACCAGTACAGTTTACAGATGTATTACCGGTACAGTTTACAGATGTATTACCGGTATAGTTTACAGATGTATTACCGGTATAGTTTACAGATGTATTACCGGTATAGTTTACAGATGTATTACCGGTACAGTTTACAGATGTATTACCGGTATAGTTTACAGATGTATTACCGGTACAGTTTACAGATGTATTTCCGGTACAGTTTACAGATGTATTACCGGTAGTTTACAGATGTATTACCGGTATAGTTTACAGATGTATTACCGGTACAGTTTACAGATGTATTACCGGTACAGTTTACAGATGTATTACCGGTATAGTTTACAGATGTATTACCGGTACAGTTTACAGATGTATTACCGGTACAGTTTACAGATGTATTACCGGTATAGTTTACAGATGTATTACCGGTACAGTTTACAGATGTATTACCGGTACAGTTTACAGATGTATTACCGGTACAGTTTACAGATGTATTACCGGTACAGTTTACAGATGTATTTCCAGTATAGTTTACAGATGTATTTCCGGTATAGTTTACAGATGTATTACTAGGGTAGATCTAGGGTAGAATAGGTCTTCAGCAACCCATGCTTGCCGTAAAAAGCGACTGTGCTTGTCGTAAGAGGCGACTAACGGGATCGGGTGGTCAGGCTCTCTGACTTGGTTGGTGCATGTCATCGCATCCCACTTGCGTGGATTGATGCTCATGATGTCAATCACTGGATTGTCTGGTCCAGACTCAATTATTTACAGACCGCCGTTACATAGCTGGAATACTGCTAAGTACGGCATTAACAACAAACAAACAAACTGTTTGCTCATATAGGAGCTCTGATCTTGTATCTCTGTAACAGCTAACAATGAAGCTGTTGTGTTAGAACTGAAGACTAGATACCAAGATATCACATTTTACAACAGGACTACTGTCAGACAGTAGAGCAAGAGGGTAACTTTCTGCTACATATTATCTCATATTAACTCCCCATGAACAGTTAGGTGTATTAATCTATATCCTCCTCGAATTCCTTAACTCAGGGCAACACTTGTATAACTTTTCAATTTTCTGGTTAACATAAAGCATAACTTATGACCTTGCTTCACTTCAACAATTCAGACCAGTGTTCTGCGAGTGAGTTTGTGTGCAAGGACTACCAGTGTCTCAACTACAGTCGGGTGTGTAATGGAGTCTTTGACTGTGCCGATGGGGAGGATGAACGTGAGTGCGGTGAGTTGCCACAAACATTCCACAACCTTATTATGATGGTGATTCAGGGCAAGGAGAGGCACCAAGCAGTGTTTGCTGGCTGTGATAGCGGACCAGCAATGTACCGGTATACCCCAATCTCATTATAATCAGATCTTCATGCTCGCTACCTCTACACAGCGATCTGAAGACATCCCATTACAGGTCACTTGTACCGTACAGGTATAACAGCTTCTTCGACACTATATAACGACACTACTTCTTGTCCCGTCATCAGGTGAATGCTGAGTAATCGAACTGAGTTATATGTTTGCATGGTGATATGTCGGTTATTCTATATTTTACAAATAGTCTTTTTTTCTGAGAAAAAATAGAAAAATGTGGGTTTCTTGATCTCAAATAGAGACATCAGCTCAGTCGGCCTTGTGTGGGAATGACATTCCATAGAATCATCATGAACAATGGATGACGTCATATTCAATTATTTTCCACAATGATTCATACGATGCCCCTTGCTGTAGGCATCTTCTCATTGAAAAAGCGGAACAATCTCATTAAAATCAGGTCTAAGTTCTCGTTGCCACTAAACTAAGATCTGAGGACCTTTTGCGAATTTTGACCGACCACTGAAATGACTAACAAGAAGTCGACATCAGCAAATTAGAAAGCAGCTTACTCGAGCTTTGCGGCACTCGTTTCAACCTGGCGACTTACATTTCAGACTACGCTTGAAAAATATGTTGACACAGTTCTCGATTAAAATTTTGAAAACTGAATGAAAAGAACATTCCGGAAGGTCTAATATATGGTTGCAATTGTATGGCAGTGCTTCCCACATACTGTGCAACACCTCCTCAGTTCAAATGTTTATCCCACGGAAGCGAGAGAGAGATGATAATTTTGACGGAATCAGTCGTACGGGCTGTAACTGTCGTTCGGAATACACCGTGTTAACGTTTTCGTGTTTGCATGATTAGAAAACACATTCCGACTGTCACTTTCATGATCTGGTAAGCGACGCTTTGATTGGTCGGATGAATGGTCGTTCTGACGTGACCCGTAATGGGATGTCCTCAGATCTTTGTTTAGCGATAGCGAGAACTAAGATCTGATTTGAATGAGATTGCAAGCGGAACAACCAGAACGATCAAGTCAGTCATAATTAAGCATAAACTATGATGCACAGTGAGAATTACTGAAAATAATTGCACCAATATCTGTGGCTCTATGGGTAATATTGAATGTTTCAGTACATCTACGGAACCCCAACTCAACAGTTCCATCCGACCTCACCATACAGAAGGATAAGGCTAGGTACTTGGTGTGTGCTGATGAGTGGATGGATGCCAACAGCAACTTCATATGTCAAGAGTTAGACATGTAAGATGACTCCTTTACCTCATGTCACCGCCTCCGTGGTCTAGTGGTAGAGCGTCTGCCCAGAGAGCAGAAGGTCCAGGGTTCGATCCCTGTACCCGTCATACCAAAAGATATTTAAAGATGATACTTGTTGTTATCCTGCCTGCTTTGCATAAAGGGCCCCAAACAAGGACTAGTAGGCTTGTAGTCAGTGGGCTGTGTCTCAGTGGGGTATTCATGTTAAACTGCGGCATGGTATCTCAGTGGGCTAGAACTATAAAATTGACGCTCAGGACTAGGACAAGCAGCCACACAATCACATGCATGCACGTCACTATATAAGTGTAATAATCTTGGCCGCGACATTAAACCCCATTTCACCTCACCTCACCTCATCTTACCTCATATAAGATGACTGCTTTAGGTGGAATCAGTCCCAATCAGAATAGGTCTGATATACTACACCTCTGGCAGCCATAGAATTTATTCTTTTTTCAAACCTTACCCAGAGGACAAGTGTAAACCTTATTTCTGTAGTCCGCAGAGTTTGTAGCTACCGGTAGTCCTGATGAACAAGACAAAACTGTTTAATATGTTTGCATTTTCTGCCATTTTTTTCAATTTCAATGTGTAGCAAATTTGAATCATTGAGAACTGGTGAGAATCATGGCCCTCAAATAGTGCCAGTCAATGAGCATACCATCACTGGATTATTACTAGTCCTTTGCACAATTTAGTAGTCTCAGGCTAGCAGACTAGCATGAATTTTGAAGGCAGACTAGAACTTCATTGGATGTCCTGAAATAAATACATAGGTTGCTCCAAATTGTAAAATAAAAGTGTTCCCTGAAAATATTGAAAAGAAATAAATCTGCCTTTGATTTTACACACTGAAGAAAATTATTCACTCGATGGCTTGTCTGGCTCATCCTTTCCAAAAAAGAAGTGCCTTGGAGGGGGAGGGGGGGGAGCAGTCAGCTGATATTCAGAGATGCAAGTGGACAAAAACTAAATTAAATGTAATATACATGTATTTACCTATGGAATGTAAAACATGTGGATTCTTTCAGTATTTTGGAGTAGTTTATGATGCTGGTGGGTGCTTTTAACAGGTCCTATCAGTCTACAAGCTTCCAGGAAGTAAGAAACACCTCTTCCAATGCCGCCTACCTTCTTCTGAAACCAGCTGCCATGTTGAGTAGAGATCAACCAGTCAGCTCCTTCTTCACCCAAAGGTACGCCACTGTCTACACATGCACTGCCTACAAAATTCCCACTGCCCACACAATGCCTACACCTTGTCTTCATGTTGTCTACACACTGCCAACAGACTGCCTACGGAGTCTTCACACAGCCCACACCATGTCTACAACTGCCTTCACACTATATAGTTGTCTACACCCCGTCTAAACACTGCCAACACCTCTAATCAACAATGAGAAAAATTGTTTTGTTTTTGTTTTTATATATTTAAAGCGACAGTAGTTTGTTGTTGTTAAAATCACAAGATATTAATATTTTTAAGGCAAACATAAAAGGTCCATATTTCTCATAACCATATCCTTATTTTATTTATTCTCCCCCAGAAAGTGTCATGCTCTCCTCTTTCTCTCCCTTGCCATTGCTGTCCTTTAGGGGTGCCACAAGGGTTTGAATCCCAGATTTACCCAAATTATATTACTTGGTTTGTCAGCTGCATACCATGCTTGTAGGTTTCACATCTTCCCACATCTTCCCACATCCTTCTTCCCGAGGCAAGGGAATTAAGTGACGATAAAAGTCCATTTTCCACCCTTGGTGAACTAGGTTGGAATTTCGTGGCTTGATTGTGGCGCCGTCAGTGGCTAAAACAAGTTGTCAACTGGGGGCTCAGCTGGGCATATATTGGCTTGCACACAGGGTATTGGTATTTTCAGCACACATTCATGACGATCTGAACAAGTTAACCAGAGAAGAGTTTCAGATTTGGCAACTATCGACGCCCAGTTGATGGTACACATGCTCTACAAATCCTGTAATTTGACAGAAATCTGCATGGCAGTCACCATGTTGTTTATGGACCAATATTGATTGGACTATGTGAAGACCCATTAGTCCAGCCAAATTCCAGACTTTTATTATCAGTTATCTCCCTGGCCTCAGGAAGATGACCACTTCAAGCTGACATGCTCATACAGATATTAAGGACCCTGAAATTGCAAACTAAATAATTGTAGTGTTATGAAATGTATAAAGTAAATTCAAGCATGTGACCCTGACTGTAAATGTTGTTATTATACTCTAACACTGAAAAGAGCTTAGATCAGAGACCATGGCAGTATACAGTTTCTTGTTGCAATATTTGTTATTTGCTTTCATGAAATCTGCTCAGTTTGTCAGTGAAAAAGTTGGCTAAGGTGCCACACTTTTCTGAGGAGTTGTCTCCCTTGGCTGATCCAGGATCCACTGGTGGTGGGTTCAAATCACAGATTAGCCCTCATCATGATCATTATAAATATGCACCACACCCGCTTGTGAGTTTCTCAAACGTGGTAAATGTCTACGACCTGCTCCATTTTGGACACGAGACCTCTGTGATATAGCTAAACACGGTCTAAGCAGCATCTGTGATTCCTTGAATGTTTCATTTGCTTCTCTTTGCATAGTAAGAGCATGGCCAGAACTTTGGTTTGTGAGTAGAGCAAATTGTGCAACGAATTCAAGCTGCTTTCTTTCAGAAAGTCTCATATTATCATAGACAGATGTGATTTACAAGAATATGTGAATATTAAACATATGACTGAACCACATAGTTCTGTCAGACTCAGCGACATCCTGCATTGGTGTTCATGCTTTCAGTCACTGGTTTGCCTGTACGGACCTGATATACGGCTGGAATAAAGTAACTCACTAAGTTTTATCAAAGAGGTAGTTTTGCTTTGTGCCATGTGACTGTAACTGAGACTTCTAGGAATGTTATCAAACAGCTTCTATGGTGTGGTTGTGGCTGTGTTAGACTTCTCAAGATACTTCTGTCTCTGACCTGAATGTTTCCATCTGTATGTAGTGAGACTGTGGCTGACCTAGAGCTTCTGCCTGTGTGAATGTGATTGTACTTTTCTCTCTCTCCCTGCATGCAGGTCCGCCTGTCCATCACTGACGACTGTAGCCCTGTCTTGTGTACAGCAAGGTTAGAACTCTTCATTTCTCACACTCAAAGAAGCACCCGTAAAATCCATGTTCTGCTCAAGATCCTTTCTGTATTATATCTGTAGTATTTCTTTTAGTGGTGCATGTAGATGCAACCGCAGTGGTTATTTGTCATTGATATGTTTATTTGTAAACAATGAAACATGTATTTTATGATGTATTTTGTTTTGAATTACAAGTTAGATAATCCTCATTATGATATTTTCAGAAATATTTATTTGTAAGAATCATTCTCTGCTCAGATTGAAGACTTCAACACTAATCTTTTAAACTTGGGATAAACTTTCCACAATTGTTTTGAAAAGAATCAACCAAGTTCTCTATAAGGCAAAATTATATATATGTGTTTCCTATTTGAGCCCTGGGGACACGGGTGGCCCAGTCGTCCAAGGCGCTGCGATTCGCTGTGCAGAGTTGCATCCCTTGGGCACACCAGAAACCTATGATTGTGGGTTCGAATCCCAGTTCGCCCCAATTATGTTTCTAGGTTTGTCAGCACCATACCCATGCATGTGGGTTTCACCGAAGTGGTAAACGTCTGACACCTGCATCACTTCGGGCTTTCATCCCACATTAAGCTGACACGCCGTGATATATCTGGAATACTGTTAAAAGCAGCTTTAAACCCAACTCACTCACTCACTATTTCAGCCCTTAGATTTAATGGAGGGTGTTACTCTTTTTCTAAAAACAATTACTGGTTTTTCTATAGTGAAATGCAACAACTTTACGGCAATGGTATAATTGTGGATGATATGGGATGATGATAAAACTTACAGTGCAACACATAGGGTCTTCAGATTTGGGTCAATTGGGAAAACGGAAACATACATATGTTTAAATTTGGCCTGCTATTTCAGTCTAAGTGTGAGTCTGTGTAGGTTTATTTGGGTTGGTTGAGATTCTTGGGTAGACTAGGTCCCCGGAATCACCCAGAATGGGTGGTGGTGAGGGGGTTACATGGTTCATGCTTTTGGGAACTTATGTGGAAACATTTCCATCATTCAGTGTACAATTTGTAATCAATGTATTGTCTGATGCTATTATCCTGTCAACTTATTACTGGTAGTTGCAAAATAAATGAAATGTAATGTTATACCCATGTTGTCGTGTACAGAATGTGGACAGCAAAAGGCCACCTACATCACCCCTTATGTTGTTGGTGGGAACATACCACAGGAAGGGAAGTGGCCCTGGGTTGTCTCCCTTTCCTACCAGGGTGCAGCACAGTGCGCCGGCGCCCTCATCAACAAGCAGTGGGTGATCACTGCTGGACACTGTGCTTCAAGGTGAGAACTTACCTTACCTGGGTAAAATCCAGTGCTAATTGCTTATAAGAAACTTCCATGGTAAACATAATTAAATCAATGCAAACATATGTTTAAGTCTTTGAACGGCATTTAGGAGCTATACACATAAGGAAGAGTATTTATGGATGTCAACTTTTTTATTATGAGGAACACAAGTAATAAGAAGTTGACATAATAAAGAAGTTGACATAAATTCTCTTCCTTAAACATGTTTGAATCAACACTTTTGGGTAAAACTTGCTATTATTTCTTTAATTTTCAGGCCAGGTCGTTTTAGTTATGTGACGACATTCTCAAACATTGAAATTCTCCTTGGTACGGTGGACAGACAAGGCGGGTCCACCCATGCAGAGAGAGTACGTGCAGCCAACATCAGCTACCACTACAACTTTACCGGTGCCGGGACTCTGGACTGGGATGTCGCCCTGGTGCAGCTGGAGAGACCGGTGGAGTTCACAGACTACATCCAGCCAATATGTCTGCCTTACGAGGGACAGACCTTCCCCTACCCCTCCCTGTGCTACCTGGCTGGGTGGGGACTAGTCAACAGCGTGCAATGTGAGTATCGTGTTGGACTAGTTAACAGTGTGCAATGTGAGTATAGTGTCAGACTAGTCAACGGTGTGCGATGAGAGTATAGTGTCGGACTAGTCAACAGTGTGCAATGTGAGTATCGTGTTGGACTAGTCAACAGCATGCAATGTGAGTAAAGTGTTGGACTAGTCAACAGCGTGCAATGTGAGTATAGTGTCTGACTAGTCAACAGCGTGCAATGTGAGTATAGTGTTGGACTAGTCAACAGCGTGCAATGTGAGTATAGTCTTGGACTAGTCAACAGCATGCAATGTGAGTATAGTGTTGGACTAGTCAACAGCGTGCAATGTGAGTATAGTCTTGGACTAGTCAACAGCGTGCAATGTGAGTATAGTCTTGGACTAGTCAACAGCGTGCAATATGAATATAGTGTTGCACTAGTCAACAGCATGCAATGTGAGTAAAGTGTTGGACTAGTCAACAGCATGCAATGAGAGTAAAGTGTAGGACTAGTCAACGGTGTGCAGTGTGAGTATCGTGTTGGACTTGTCAATGGTGTGCAATGAGAGTATCGTGTTGGACTTGTCAAAGGTGTGCAATGAGAGTATAATGTTGGACTAGTCAACAGTGAGCAATGTGAGTATCGTGTTGGACTATTAAACATTATGCAATGTGACTAAAGTGTTGGACAAGTCAACGGTGAAGAATATGAATATAGGGTTGGACTAGTCAACAGCGTGCAGTATGGATATAGAGTTGGACTAGTCAACAGTGTGCAATGTGAGTCTAATGTTGGACTAGTCAACAGCGTGCAGTATGGGTATAGAGTTGGACTAGTCAACAGTGTGCAATGTGAGCATAGTGTTGGACTAGTCAACAGTGTGCAATGTGAGTATAGCGTTGGACTGGTCAACAGCGTGCAGTATGGGTATAGTGTTGGACAAGTCAATGGTGTGCAATGTGAACATATTGTTGTGTTTTGTCAAGTAAAAACCCTCAGGGATAATTATTTATCATGGCCCTGGCGCACAGAGCGATCTTAGCGCTACGACTGCCATAAGCCTGTTTTAAAGTATGGGAGTTACGATCACCTTAGCGCTAACAAAGCTTTGTGCAACAGGGCCCAGAACATAAAAGACATTTATTCTGACCTTGCCCAATTGTTGTTTCAGATTTATCCCCTGAGAAGCTGCGAGATGCAAAGATGCTGGTGTGGGATCGGGAGAGGTGTGAGGACAACACTGGCAGTAGCAACAACTCTACCCTGTGTGCCGGCTACATTAACGGCCCGCCTGCAGGCTGTCAAGTGAGGCTCTCACACTCAATCTAAACACTTATGAACATCTCAGTCACATTATTGGTGGTCCCATCACATCGAGAAATGATATCCCTTGCCCAGTTATGTCTGCAAAGTTGCTTAAAGTGGAGTAATACCATTCTTACTCCCTGTTGAAAGCCACAATAGTTTCTGATCTTATATTCAATTGATCGGTTTCTTTACCCACAAGTTGTTTTTCTTGCCCAAGGGAGGTGGATATCGACTGATGGTTTAACTTCTGGGGTGGATCTTGAAAATACTAATCCTGCCCCTGCAAATCGAACATAAATAAATGCATATCCGGGCATGCGATATTTCCATCTTAAGTTAGAATTCGGTCTTTTTTATTAACCCCTAGGGTATATTTTATTACCCCCTTGTAAATATTCAGGTTCATTTTATGGACCTTGTAGGTGGAGTGCGGACCTCAAACATCAGCTTTTCAGTGTCTTTTGTCATCCTTCAATCACATGCCTTAACCCCACCCCTGAGGAGGAAAAGGTTGTTGCCATGGTCTCTGTCATTATGTCATGGTTGACGTTTCTGTTGCCAGGGTGACAGTGGAGGGCCGTTGATGTGTCAGGAGGAAGCAGGAAGTGGCTGGGTGCTGGCGGGAGTGATGAGCAGTGGGACCAGCACGTGCGAGAACTACCCCTCCTCCCAGGCCAACAGGTTTGCCCACATCGCCAGTGTCAGGAAGTGGATACAGTCAGTCATAGCTGGATCTTAGTATAACCATTAGGTGATCCTAACATTGCAAGTGTCAAGAAGTGGATAGTCAGTCAGAGCTTGATCTTAGTATAACCATTGGTTGATCTTAACATTGCCATTGTCAAGAAGTGGATAGTCAGTCAGAGCTTGATCTTAGTATAACCATTGGTTGATCTTAACATTGCCAGTGTCAAGAAGTGGATAGTCAGTCAGAGCTTGATCTTAGTATAACCATTGGTTGATTGACCATTGCCAGTGTCAGGCAATGGATAGATTCAGTAATAGCTGGATCTTAGTATAACCATTGGCTGACTGAACTTTAACAAATTGCTGGTCTTAGTAATTGCATGACACTGATTGCACTGATCTTAGTATTGGAATACTATTGGTTTTTGTGTTGACATAAGCTGATCATATTATTGGCATATGCCTGTGATCTTTGCCTTGGCATATTCCTGGTCTTAGCACTGGCATGAGACAAATCTAAGACCCAAAGATCCTGCGCCGAGCTTTTCACTGAGACTAATCTTGTCTTCGACATGAGACTGGTATATGACAGTAATCTCAATTGGTTTAAGAATATTCTTGTATTTTGGGTATCATATAAATTGGCTAATGATAAGTTTATAAGTGTTAATTAACCTTTGATTATTCCACATGAAAGCATTGTATGATTTCCTGGATCTCATGTAAAAAATAACGTTAATATGACGTTAGCAGTGTTAGTCTGGGAGTGAGTGGAAAGTGATGTATTTCTTTACATGCGATATCCAAACAATGGTTGTGTCATTGACGGATCTCCTGACATGTGTTACTGATATCATTATACATGTATGTTGATGAGATATTTATTATCAAGGACAGTGTACATATTATGTTATTGCTTGTTTTTATTTGCAGTTCTGGTTGTGCATTTTGATATCTTGTGTTACAAGCCCCGGTCTTTCGTGTTACTTGTTATTTCATTGGTTGTGATCTGAATGATAGTATTCTACAGGGTTACCATGGTTACCACTGGTCAAAACCCCTGGTAGATGGATACCCATGATTATACAGAGGTGCAACAACCTATTTGCATTTTCTTAGCCTGTTTTACGTGATCTTCCTTGTGTACTATGAAGCCCTTTTGATGTGTGCTTGGTTATTGTTATAGTTTTGGCATGTGTTGAGATTTGTATGGGGTGGGGGGTTACGATCCACCGATAGCTACTGTCAAATGTGTGTGTGTGTGGGGGGGGGGGGGGCCTCAGGTTTTACGTTCCACCGATAGCTACTGTCAAATGTATGGGGTCACAGGTGGCCCAGTCACACAAAAGTTTGCTGTTCAGAATTGCATCCCCTACACATACGTGATCCTATGATTCTGGGTTTGAATCCCAGATTTTCCTTGATTGTGATCATTTTTACATATCATACTTGCTTGTGGGTTAGTGTTTAGTAGTATGTTGGTCTTTTATATACTACACCTCTCTGTCTAATACAGGGGAGATGTTTGATGTCTTCCAACCACTGGGTTGCTTAATAAGGGGAAACGTAAAAGATCAGGAGTTCAGGCTTGGTGACGTGGATAATATCAATCACTGGATTATACGGCCCTGACTTGATTATGTACAGGCCTCTGTTACATAGCTTGAATATTCTTGAGTATGGCATTTAACACCAAACAAATGCCATGACAGTCTCATGAAATTCGATCGTTTACTCTGATACAATACTTCACTACTTTATGATCTGAGAACACTTGCATAGGATGTCGAGTCAGGTGAACACTGAGTGACCTTTGATGATCCGAATCTAAATTAAGAATGTGTGGGTTCTTGAACCAATCAGATGTCATCTTCCTTAAATGATTTTGCTTCATTTCTTTACTAAATTTAGACTTTAACGAAAGAAAATCCATGCAGGACACAAGTATTCCTTCAATGGCACTTCCTTTTGGGTGTTGATACCACGGAGTATGACAAGGTGTATAAAATATCCACAACAATATTCTGGCACAACCTTCATTATGAACTTTCGGAAAAGGTTATGTCAATCTCATTAAAATCAGATCTTACTTCTCGCTATTGCTAAACAAAGATCTGTGGACATCCCATTGCAGGTCACGTCATCCAACCAGAGATAATAAAAGTGACAGTCAGAATGTGTTTCCTAAACATGCAAACTCAAAACTGGCAGGAGTGATGAGCAGTGGGACTAGCACGTGCGAGAACTACCCCTCCTCCCAGGCCAACAGATTTGCCCACATCGCCAGTGTCAGGAAGTGGATACAGTCAGTCATAGCTGGATCTTAGTATAACCATTAGGTGATCTTAACATTGCCAGGGTCAAGAAGTGGATAGTCAGTTAGAGCTTGATCTTAGTACAACCATTGGTTGATCTTAACATTGCCAGTGTCAAGAAGTGGATAGTCAGTCAGAGCTTACTTCTCGCTATTGCTAAACAAAGATCTGTGGACATCCCATTGCAGGTCACGTCATCCAACCAGAGATCATAAAAGTGACAGTCAGAATGTGTTTCCTAATCATGCAAACTCAAATTATTTAACAGAGGGTATTCCGAACGACAGTTACGGGTTTTATGATTATATCCATACAATTTAGGCCATCTATAAGCCATTCCAGAATGTTCTTTTTATCAGTTTTAAAATTTTTAATCGAGAATACGTCAAAATATGTTTCGAAGCGTAGTGCCATTCTGAAACTACTGTTGTAAAGCTCGAGATAGCTGCCTTGTTTGGCTAATGTAGATTTCTTGTGAGTCATTTCATTGATCAGTCAAAGTTCGCGTAAGGTCGTTCTGATATGCCCCTTAATGGGATGTCCTCAGATCTTTGTTTAGCGGTAGTGAAAACTAAGATCTGATTTTAATGAGATTGAGGTTGTGTTAGCTCATTTTAGATATATAGAAATCAGATATGCCGGTCTGAATGTTTTTCCCACTCATACCGACAATTTAGAAGCCACGGTGCTGATTGGTTGATTAGAAAGTTCCCTTGGTGCATCCTCCGAAGGAGATGCCTCAGATCTTCATGCAGAGAGGTATTGTATCGGAGTAAAAGTTCAGATATTACCGGTAATGAGATTGACATAATGAAAAATGAATAGGTACCTTGATACATTCATCAGTTTGCCACATCCCTACATTCTGCAGCTGATGGTGTGTATTGTGCTGGTGATGGGTGGATGTATGTTTCTTGTTTCATGATCTGCAGTTTGATGCTGCAGAGATGAATTCTGTGAATTGTTTTATGTTTGTCAGCAGCAGCTGATGCTCTTGTTCTCTTGATGCATGGTCACATCACGTGGTCCTTCTCTTGATGGATGGTCACACCACGTGGTCCTTTCCTTTGATGGATGGTCACATCACGTGGTCCTTCTCTTGATGGATGGTCACACCACGTGGTCCTTCTCTTGATGGATGGTCACACCACGTGGTCCTTCTCTTGATGGATGGTCACATCACGTGGTCCTTCTCTTGATGGATGGTCACATCACGTGGTCCTTCTCTTGATGGATGGTCACATCACATGGTCCTTCTCTTGATGGATGGTCACACCACGTGGTCCTTCTCTTGATGGATGGTCACACCACGTGGTCCTTCTCTTGCTGGATGGTCACATCACGTGGTCCTTCTCTTGATGGATGGTCACATCACGTGGTCCTTCTCTTGATGGATGGTCACATCACGTGGTCCTTTCCTTTGATGGATGGTCACATCACGTGGTCCTTCTCTTGATGGATGGTCACATCATGTGGTCCTTCTCTTGATGGATGGTCACATCACATGGTCCTTCTCTTGATGGATGGTCACATCACGTGGTCCTTCTCTTGATGGATGGTCACATCACGTGGTCCTTTCTTTTGATGGATGGTCACATCACGTGGTCCTTCTCTTGGTGGATGGTCACATCATGTGGTCCTTCTCTTGATGGATGGTCACATCATGTGGTCCTTCTCTTGATGGATGGTCACATCACGTGGTCCTTCTCTTGATGGATGGTCACACCACGTGGTCCTTCTCTGTGGTCTTTTGTCAGCAGGGAAAGTGTTCATGTACTTGTCACTGGGAGTAATTACATGTGTATCTCAGCACAGAATATCTTCTCATTTAATGCATTATTTTACAAAGATTCTTGTGATGAAAAGTGTTCAAACTCTGTTCAGCAAAAGACTGAGAAAATGGACTCATTTACAAAGTCATCACTCAGGACAAAATCGACTGATTATGAAAATATTTTGTGTAGATAAAACATTTTGAGTGTGAGACAGGAAGACACGGCTTTAATTGGTGGAGGAAGTATAAGAACTATTTTTTATAGTTTTCATCAACAGCATCCCAATCACTGGGATGTGGCTCAAAAATTATAATTTGAATTACAATGATAACTTTTGTGATGTGTCAGTTCTTATGTCATATTTCCAAGGATGGAAAATCATATCAGAATTATTTTGATGTTTATGGATAGGTACCACAGTAGGCACAAATGAAATCAAGAAAAATGTGGTTTCGTTTTGCATTTTTTTTAAATGTTGTGTTCAAATGTGCGTTTCTAGAGTTAGTGAGTTATTATTTAAGGACATGATCCCATGCAGCGGCCAGCATTTTACATCACAGTCAGCAATATTCTCAATATATCACAACGACCTCAAACAATCAAGTCAGTGCCAAGCAAAGCTGTGGTTGACAGCATGAGCAACAATCCACACAGTGGATCACTGTCAGTGAGACCAACCGACCCTCATTGTAGACATCCCCTGTGAAGATCTGGGTTAGAATTAGTCTTCAGCAACCCAGGCTTGTTGTAAAAGGTGACTAACTTGATTGGGTGGTCAGGCCCACCAACTTTGTTGATGCATGTCATCGTATCCCATTTGTGTAGATCGATGCACATGCTGTCAATCACTGGAGTATTTGATCCAGACTTGATTATTTACCGACTGTCATCATATGGCTAGAATATTGGATTGCAGCTTTAAACAACAAACAAACAAGGCATGTGATTGGCCACTGCCAGTTATTGGATTGCTGATCAGGAATCTGGTAACGTCCTATTTCCAGAGTTTTAAATAGTATATCAAAGAATAGTGTACTTAGCAGCTTGGTCATGATTGCCAAAAATCCCAGACAATGCGTGGGATACGTTTTCAAAGTCTTCCATCCCTAGCCTGCATGAGCCTCACGTAATTGTGTTGGTGTTTATGTTACACCTCTAGTTGAAGTTGGGAATCACTTCAATATCCAGGAGTCATTGCTTTGAAGCAAAGGACTAGACATCTACTGAAGCAAAGAAAGATGATTGGAGTCTGTCTCACATACATGTATAGGGGCGGTGGTGTAGCCTAGTGGTTAAAGCGTTCGCTCGTTCTGCCGAAGACCTGGGATTGATTCCCGACATGGGTACAATGTGTGAAGCCCATTTCTGGTGTCCCCCGTCAGGATATTGCTGGAATATTGCTAAAAGCAGCGTAAAGCACTCAGTCACTCGCATACATGTATATTCAGTGAGTGAGTGAGTTGGCTTTAACGGTATTCCAGTTATATCACGGTGAGTCAGCTTAATGAGGGAGGAAAGCCCAAAGTGATGCAGTTCTAAAACGAGCACGGGTATAGTGCTGACAAAACTAGAAACATAATGTATATTGCAAGAACAATACTAATGTTAACATGGTTAAGAAATTGTGATCGATTAAACAAATTGATCCTGAATTCTGCTGACTGGATATTGATCATATTGATTAAACCTATGACTGCTGTGTCAATGTAATGAGTGTCCTTGAGTTAAGTGCAAAATCACTGCCACTGGCTGGAAACTGGCCAGTAATGGTGGAACATCTCACCAAGCCCAGCCAGCATGATCCTCATGTAGATGGTCCTCATCGGCACAATACAAAGTTATCGGGGGAAACATTCAGACATTGTGAAACAGCAATATTGAACTGCTGTAAAGTTATTTGCAGAATAGATCTGATTCATAGAAAGACATGTGGGTCAGACCATTTCATATTTCTGGGGAAGGGATTTTTGTTAGGTATTTTTTCGGTCACTTGTTCCAAATGTACAATTCATCACTTGGTCAGTGTCTTATGTTTCATGCATTGATCACTGGAAGTGTGTTGATTTATGGTCTGATGATGTATCAGGCAGTTCAGTTCCTTTATCTATGACTGTCCCCAATAACCATGTCATTTCTGTCTCCTTGACATTGGTGACTTGAAAGGAAAGGAAAATGCCCTTTTCATTGTGTAGCACAGGTAGTCATGTTGTTTTGTTGTAAATCTAATAGTATTTTACTCTGAATTTGGAGATAAACATCCTGTGATTTCAATGTAGAGCTTAAATTTAATCCTTAAAATTGAGTTTGGAAACGAAATGGCAATGACTAAAAAAGTGGTACTATTCTATAAATATTTCCTTCTACGGTGATGAGGATGTTGAATCAGATGTTTTATTGAGAGGGGATTTATTGTGATTTAATAACGTCTGATTGACCAATCATGTAATTTCCAAATTCATGGTAGAATGACTGTTTTTCCTCTGTGAATTAGACATTAGTTTTAAGCAATCGATGTAAATCGTGTCTGTGAACTTGACATCCAGCACATGACTGTTTAGCCTCTGTCAACATTCTGTGATGTCATTCTAGTGTTTTCACCTTACCCTTGCACTAGACCCCATTCCATTCCAGTCAAGTCCTTATCATGGTATCAGGCCTGATCCTATCTCCTGGGTCTTTCTACATTGATCCTGTGGATTTACATTACCAATGCCACATGCTGACTTTCATTGTCTTATTGAACACTGTTATCCTTATATCTTACCTGTGGCCTCCTTGTTTATTTTGTTCTGCATGTTCAACCAAGTGAAGTGGTATAGCCCAGTGGTAAAGGTGTTGGTTCATCAGAATGAACACCTGGGTTCAGTTCCACATATCTGAAAGGTGTGTGAAGCCCTTATAAAAAATCCCCCAAATTGGCGTAAAGTCACTTCCATCCAAGCCAATGTTGTCTGTACTCACAGAGTGATATAGTTGTCTGAACAGACAGTGTGTGGTGTCTGTATCAACCTTCAATCTCCAGACAATACACAACTCTGGGAAGGGAGGTTCTTTCATAAAATTTGTTCATTAAATAATTTTACAGAATTTTTATGCAAGTCATGTGAAAAAAGATGAGTAACTTCACAGATAAATTATGAATGTTATTTTTGTGCTATTTATGACAACCTGGGCGAATCTTTCCAAACTGTTTTAAAAATTCTGCCTTGAGAACTTTGAGTCCTCACTTTTTGGAATGTTGTTTGCAGATATTGATTTGAAATTCATTGGAGGTTCTGTCAAGCATATTTCTAGCCTTCATGAATGTGACAATGTCCAATCTGGTCTGTCTCTATGTTTATTACCTACACATATTTCCAGGTGCTGCTGCGCAACATTGATAAGTGCTTCTTAATGCTTCTCTTAAGGAAGAAGTCTATGCCTTGTTTTTTATGATTATTTATTGACACTAATAAACTCTTTTTATGATCTAATCAGTGTAATGTGTTGTTTGTGTACAGCTGTACTCCAATGTATTCATATTTCTTGTCCATAAAGATTTTGATACGATCCATAGTCTGGCCGTCTATTGTAATCACAGTCAGGTCCTATACTGTAACCACAACCAGGTCCTATATTGTAACCCTACAGCCAGGTCCTATATTGTAACCACAGCCTGGTTCTATATTGTAACCACAGCCAGATCCTATATTGTAACCACAGCCTGGTCCTTTAGTGTAACCACAGCCTGGTTCTATATTGTAACCACAGCCAGATCCTATATTGTAACCACAGCCTGGTTCTATATTGTAACCACAGCCAGATCCTATATTGTAACCACAGTCCGATCCTATATTGTAACCACAGTCAGGTCCTATATTGTTTTCACAGGCAGGTCCTATGTTGTAACCGCAGTCAGGTCCTATATTGTAACCATAGTCAGGTCCTATATTGTAACCACAGTCAGGTCCTTTATTGTAACCACAGTCAGGTCATATATTTTAACCACACTCAGGTCCTATATTGTAACTATAGCATGGTCCTATACTGTAACCACATTCAGGTCCCATATTGTAACCACAGCCTGGTCCTATATTGTAACCACATTCAGGTCCTATATTGTAACCACATTCAGGTCCTATGTTGTAACCACAGCCTGGTCCTATATTGTAACCACAGTCAGGACCTATATTGTAACCACAGTCCGATCCTATATTGTAACCACAGTCAGGTCCTATATTGTTTTCACAGCCAGGTCCTATATTGTAACCGCAGTCAGGTCCTATATTGTCACCACAGTCAGGTCCTATATTGTAACTATAGCCTGGTCCTATACTGTAACTGCAGCCTGGTCCTATATTGTAGCTATAGCATGGTCCTATACTGTAACCGCAGCCTGGTCCTATATTGTAACTAGAGCACGGTCCTATATTGTAACCACAGTCAGGTCCTTTATTTTAATCACACTCAGGCCCTATATTGTAACTATAGCATGTCATATACTGTAATCGCAGTATCGGACCCAGTCGTGATTATATGAAGCCCACTCACCTGCACTGATTCAGATAAATTGAGCACTATGTTTCGGATGCAGACACTACAATGGGTGCAGACACTACATGAGGTAGTGACACTACACCGGATACAGACACTGCTTCTGGTGCAGATACTACATCAGGTACGGACACTACATGGGCTATGGACACTACAACGGGTACGGACACTACATTGGGTGCAAACATTACATGGGCTATGGACACTACAACGGGTACGGACACTACATGGGCTATGGATACTACAACGGGTACGGACACTACATTGAGTGCAGACATTACATGGGCTATGGACACTACCACGGGTACGGACACCACATTGGGTGCAGACATTACATCCGCTACGGACACTACATTCAGTGCGGACACTACATGGGCTATGGACACTACAACGGGTACGGACACCACATTGGGTGCAGACATTACAACGGGTACGGACACCACATTGGGTGCAGACATTACAACAGGTACGGACACCACATTGGGTGCAGACATTACAACGGGTACGGACACCACATTGGGTGCAGACATAACAACGGGTACGGACACTACATTGGGTGCAGACATTACATGGGCTATGGTCACTACATTGAGTGCAGACATTACAAAGACATTACAATGGGTACGGACACTACATTGGGTGCAGACACTACATGGGCTATGGTCACTACATTGGGTGCAGACATTACAACGGGTACGGACACTACATTGGGTGCAGACACTACATGGGCTATGGACACTACAACGGGTACGTACACCACATTGGGTGCAGACATTACAACGGGTACGGACACCACATTGGGTGCAGACATTACAACGGGTACGGACACCACATTGGGTGCAGAGATTACAACGGGTACGGACACCACATTGGGTGCAGACATTACAACGGGTACGGACACTACATTGGGTGCAGACATTACATGGGCTATGGACACTACAACGGGTACGGACACTACATTGAGTGCAGACATTACATCAGCTACAGACACTACATTGAGTGCAGACATTACATCAGGTACGGACACTACATTGAGTGCAGACACTACATGGGACATGGACACTACCACGGGTACGGACACCACATTGGGTGCAGACATTACATCCGCTACGGACACTACATTGAGTGCAGACACTACATGGGCTATGGACACTACCACGGGTACGGACACTACATTGGGTGCAGACATTACATGGGCTATGGACACTACAACGGGTACGGACACTACATTGAGTGCAGACATTACATCAGCTACAGACACTACATTGAGTGCAGACATTACATCAGGTACGGACACTACATTGGGTGCAGACACTACATGGGATATGGACACTACCACGGGTACGGACACCACATTGGGTGCAGACATTACAACGGGTACGGACACCACATTGGGTGCAGACTTCACAGCGGGTACGGACACTACATTGAGTGCAGACACTACATGGGCTACGGACACTACAACGGGTACGGACACCACATTGGGTGCAGACATTACATCAGGTACGGACACTACATTGAGTGCAGACACTACACGGGCTATGGACACTACAATGGGTACGGACACCACATTGGGTGCAGACTTTACAACGGGTACGGACACCACATTGGGTACAGACATTACAACGGGTACGGACACCACATTGGGTGCAGACTTTACAACGGGTACGGACACCACATTAGGTGCAGACTTTACATCGGGTACGGACACTACATTGGGTGCAGACACTACATGGGCTACGGACACTACAACGGGTACGGACACCACATTGAGTGCAGACATTACATGGGCTATGGACACTACAACGGGTACGGACACCACATTGGGTGCAGACATTACAACGGGTACGGACACCACATTGGGTGCAGACTTTACAACGGGTACGGACACCACATTTGGTGCAGACTTTACAACGGGTACGGACACTACATTGAGTGCAGACACTACATGGGCTACGGACACTACAACGGGTACGGACACCACATTGAGTGCAGACACTACATGGGCTATGGACACTACAACGGGTACGGACACCACATTGGGTTCAGACATTACAACGGGTACGGACACCACATTGGGTGCAGACATTACAACGGGTACGGACACCACATTGGGTGCAGACTTTACAACGGGTACGGACACTACATTGAGTGCAGACACTACATGGGCTACGGACACTACAACGGGTACGGACACCACATTGGGTGCAGACATTACATCCGCTACGGACACTACATTGAGTGCAGACATTACATCCGCTACGGACACTACAACGGGTACGGACACCACATTGGGTGCAGACACTACATGGGCTATGGACACTACAACGGGTACGGACACCACATTGGGTGCAGACATTACAACGGGTACGGACACCACATTGGGTGCAGACATTACAACGGGTACGGACACCACATTTGGTGCAGACTTTACAACGGGTACGGACACCACATTGGGTGCAGACACTACTTCAGGTACAGGCTCTACAACGGATGCATACCACAGCTGAAACTGAAACTATACATATATTCATTAATCATGTAAAATTTCACTCAAGATGACAAATACCTTTTATCATTCACAAAGATTTGCAACATTCATAAAAGAGATATGCTGAGATTCATAGTTCTGTCGCTGTCCTGAATTTCAAGTACAGTTGCTGAACAACGACCTGGTTCTACTATCTCGGGTACAACTTTCACAGCCGTTTTATATCGGTCACGTCAAGATGGCATATCTAAGGACTTTGTAATAACGAGGTTTGTTATCTACGAATGTAAATAAAGATTGTGAACCGAATGGAGTGTGTTCTGCAGTCTGATTGGTTGAAAAAAATGCTTTAAATTAGACTGCAAGAGCCTTCACTGCGCATGATCTCTTTCGCATCAGAAAATTATTAGGAGATAAACATACTGTGTATTCAATGTTACATGTAGATTTAACCGTGCTAATTTGAATTTGCGTTTATTTTTATTTCAACCTCTGATTGACCAATCAGAATCGAGTAATCTCCAAATTTAGATTGACTTACATAACCTTTGTATTTTGCAATGTTGATAAACATTGCGTTTTCAGATTTGGGGTTGTATTGACACATGATCTCTTGGTCTAATTAATGCGTAGAGTCGCGTTAAACTACCTCGCCAGTAATATGGGAAATAAGAGTAAAGCTATTGCAAGGAATTTATTTAAAATGTAGATAACAAATCTATCAAAAGTTTGTTTCATTTTATTGAATTTTATTGATCCCAGCCAACGTTTTTGACTAGAAAGGTTCATATTTGATCCAAGGCAAGAATGACATTTGTTGAGTTATCTACTTGTAACCAAATTATTTCTTTAATACTGGTATTAGCAGTGGGTATTTATTTAGTTCTGCCTAACTGGCCCAGTTATGTGTTTTCTACTAGTTATGATTTATAAAACTGAATTTGTAGTTTTCCTTGAAGAAGTGTATCAATACCTTTTTCAAGATCTTCACCACAATCTTCACAATTGTATAACATTATTGTTTCTGTGAGGGTTTTAAACAATTTTATTGATAACTTTACTTGGACATCATTATGAAAAAATGGTGTTTTAATCTATGGGATGCACCTATGGCTTTCCGTGTGAGTGACTATATACAACCTTTGATCTTTCCATGTTTATGGGGGGCACGGGTGGCCCAGTCGTCCAAGGCGCCTCGATTCGAGTTGCGTCCCTTGTGCACGCCAGAAATCTATGATTGTTGGTTCGAATCCATGTTCGCCCCGATTATGTTTCTAGGTTTGTCAGCACCATACCCGTGCTCGTGGGTTTCACCGAAGTGGTAAAGGGCTGAGACCCGCGTCACTTCGGGCTTTCCTCCAACATTAAGCTGGCATGTCGTGATATAACTGGAATACCGTTAAAAGCGTCGTTAAACCCAACTCATTCACTCACTCACTCACTTCACTTATGAAGTTGTATTTCAAGATATGTCTATCTGTCATCTGTGACTATTGGTTTTCCTTGTGTTGACCATTAAAAGGCATTGTTGCCTTGATGGTGCTTTCCGAAGAAAACTTCATTGGATTTATCAAGATTAATTTGTAGAGACGTTAAGCAATTTTTTTATAAATTTTTTAATAGCATTTTTAGTTTTGGGGTGAATCTGATAATAACAAACAAGAGATCATCAGCAAATAATATATGACATATTTTAATGGTATCTAGTTTAAGTCCTAGTACTTCTGGTTGTTCGTAATTATGTACATCATTTACAAATACATTGAATAGTATGTGTGATAATGTACAGCCCTGTCGAACACCCTGTCGAAGCAAGCGGCACTGTCAGCCCTTGTGATCTCTATAGCTCGTAGCTCACATTTGAGTACAGGGAGCATATGGACGATAACAGGTATCAATGAATTTCATATATATTTAGTTTGTTGAGGAACAAATGTCTATCAACTGTGTCAGAGGCTTTTTTTTATAAATCGAAGAAGCAAGCATAAATATTCTCCCGCTTACAGTTAATGTTGTTAAAACAAAGTTCTGAAGCCTTTGCGAAATCCAGAATGGCAGGGATCAAGGAGGTTGTTACCTTCTACTGCATTTAAGGTTATTTACACCATTTGCAGTGATAAGTCATATAAGTTAATTTACACCATTCACAGTGATAAGTCATGTAAGTTAATTTTCACGATTCGCAGTGATAAGTCATATAAGTTAATTTACACCATTCGCAGTGATAAGTCATATAAGTTAATTTACACCATTCGCAGTGATAAGTCATATAAGTTAATTTACACCATTCGCAGTGATAAGTCATATAAGTTAATTTAAACCATTCGCAGTGATAAGTCATATAAGTTAATTTACACCATTCACAGTGATAAGTCATATAAGTTAATTTACACCATTCGCAGTGATAAGTCATATAAGTTCATTTACACCATTCACAGTGATAAGTCATATAAGTTAATTTACACCATTCGCAGTGATAAGTCATATAAGTTAATTTACACCATTCACAGTGATAAGTCATATAAATTCATTTACACCATTCACAGTGATAAGTCATATAAGTTAATTTACACCATTCACAGTGATTAGTCATATAAGTTAATTTACACTATTCGCAGTGATAAGTGATATAAGTTAAATTACACCATTCACAGTGATAAGTCATATAAGTTAAATTACACCATTCACAGTGATAAGTCATATAAGTTCATTTACACCATTCACAGTGATAAGTCATATAAGTTCATTTACACCATTCACAGTGATAAGTCATATAAGTTCATTCACACCTTGCACAGTGATAAGTCATATAAGTTCATTTACACCATTCACAGTGATAAGTCATATAAGTTCATTTACACCATTCACAGTGATAAGTCATATAAGTTCATTTGCACCATTCACAGTGATAAGTAATTATATAAGTTCATTTACACCATTCGCAGTGATAAGTCATATAAGTTTATTTACACCATTCACAGTGATAAGTCATATAAGTTCATTTACACCATTCACAGTGATAAGTCATATAAGTTAATTTACACCATTCACAGTGATAAGTCATATAAGTTAATTTACACCATTCACAGTGATAAGTCATATAAGTTCATTTACACCATTCACAGTGATAAGTCATATAAGTTAATTTACACCATTCACAGTGATTAGTCATTTAAGTTAATTTACACCATTCGCAGTGATAAGTCATATAAGTTCATTTACACCATTCACAGTGTTAAGTCATATAAGTTAATTTAAACCATTCGCAGTGATAAGTCATATAAGTTAATTTACACCATTCACAGTGATAAGTCATATAAGTTAATTTACACCATTCACAGTGATAAGTCATATAAGTTAATTTACACCATTCGCAGTGATAAGTCATATAAGAGCTTGTTGTTGTTGATACCAGACATGCGGCGTTTTTAGCAAGATCCCTGAATGCTGCCAGTATTTCTAATTATCTCAGTATCAACCGCTCCGTGCACGTCGACGCAGGACCAGAGAACCCTCCCACACATTGGTCCCTGGGGATGACGAAGAGAGGTATTCATAGATTAAAAGGCAAGTACAGACGATACCGATCACGCCTGCTATTCTTCTAAAGATACGTAAAGAATTAGACTTCACCATAGTTTTCTGGGCAACCTTTGTGGTGGTATTGTTGAATTTGTTCTCATTTTTCAGAATATTGACTCTATTGCTTTCCAGTGTGAAAAAGCAAATTCCCGACAAGAAGTTGTGTATTATTGACGTCACATGATACAATGATGAAGTGCTTTTAGAAATTTGACATATCAAAACTATTCAGTTTAGTCACAGGATTAGGGTTTTACAACGGTGTTTGGAGTTGGAGCTTTGTACATTATTGTAAACCGTAATAGGCGCCTTGCTACTTTAGGACTATATATACTACTCAAAAGAAGTTAAGGATCACCTGATTCTTTCATATTACTATAGTTAATCTCTCATGCCATGACAGATTAACTTTACCATTATGAAGGAATCGGGTGATCCTTAACTTCTTTTGAGTAGTATATATTGATGGCAAAAAGTCTCAGTTTTACTGCGGTGCTTTCCGTTGTGTTCTCTTCTCGCTGTGCAGAATCCTTTGGTATTTATGTCCTCTGAGGCTCCTGACCGGGTTATCAATTCTGATTATAGATAAAACACAAGAGTGAAGTTTGATCTAAAGTTTATTTTAACAAACACAACAGGTGACATACCTTCATTAACTACCTATTTCCCCCCTTTTCTTACCAACGTACAACTTTTCTACCTCAACTCTTGACCTTTTTAATCACCCCTCTAACCCCCGTAATAAAAATGTCCTGAAAGAAACCTATTTTATTCCTATGAAGAGTTGCGTCCCTTGGGCACGCCAGAAGCCAATGGTTGTGGGTCGAATCCCTGTTCGCACCGATAATGTTTCTAGGTTTGCCAGCACCATACCCGCACTCGTGGGTTTCACCGAAGTGGTAAACGTCTGACACCTGCATCACGTCACGCTGTAATATAACTGGAATACTATTAAGCGGCGTTAGACAATACTAACTCACTCACACACTGAAAGGACGACTGACGATTCCCTTCCCAGGGTAAGCTTGGCTCACACGCGGACCATGCGACTAGGACACCAGTGACAACTAAAGATCACGTTTCTCACATTTCGGCTTTCTCAAATGTTCCAGGCGCCAAGCCGAGCATGCAAGAGGTGTAGATTGACATTGTCACGTCTTCTCGCTTGGGCATTAGCTACTACATCGAGGACTACAAAGATAGGTTCTATGTCAGCCGCCCAATTCCCCTTAAACTTACCCACCCGCTAGTTTCTAAAAATATAAATGTACCCCCAAATATCGAGCCGACCACAAACAATTAAAGATTTATTATCAATTAAATATTGACCTATTCCTATACAGCGTTGTTTGTCTTTTCTTGACTAGAGTTAAGTGGTAATGAGTATAGCGTCCTACCACAAACCCACTGAAGACAATCGGTAAACCCTTACATGAAGCTATACATCATGAACGGCATTCCGTGAACACTGCAGCATTGAGAGTGAGTGAGTGAGCACGGTTTTACGCCGCTTTTAGCAATATTCCAGCAATACAACGGCGGGGGATACCAGAAATGGGCTTCACACGTGTACCCATGTCGGGATTCGAACCCGGGTCTTCGGCGTGACGAGCAAACGCTTTAACCACGAGGCTACCCGCCCGCCCGCAGCATGGAGAGGACAACATTACATTTATATATGTCACAAATTGGTGTTGCGCAGAAACTATTATAAGACGGTGTAAATACAAATCTGTACCAGCCTGGTGAAAATATGCATGCGCCAAACATCCCGCGTGCAGATATATAACACCAAGCTTACACTTTGAACGGACGATTACATCACTTGACCCCGAGTGTTTAACTGCGTCAGCCTGTTGAGAAGCGTCCGAGTTAACATGGCGTGGAAAGGAAAGCCAATTCATCTACCATGTGTTTCCCTGGGGACATTCATGACGGAAAGGTTCGATCAACATGGAGATAGGGTTGCCATGGTGAGTACATTCGACATTTACGGCAGTCCCCGCAAGGGACGTAATGCATTATACTACTTGTGGGACACCTTGGCCCAGATATGCAGGTCAGCAATGTGTGTTGACCCACGGACGTATATACGTCTTTGGTTGACCCATTTTGAGTTTTTCGCTGACCTGTTAATGTTAATGTCAGCTTATCTTATGGGTCTTGGTCCATCGGGCTGTCCGTCGGTTAGCATTGAAATTGAAATTATATATAGTCTGCGCCCTAACCATGCATTTGTGTGCACAGCCTCTATTATCTCGTGTACTCTGTTATGAAAAATACACTAGGGCCATGCCGAGACTTCGTTTCGAAAGTGGCTATTTGTAGCGTGGTGTCAAACGCAACGGGTTCCTATCAAATGAGTTCTGGTATCGGATGGATGGGTATAGAGCATTTGTCATAATAGTGTGTCTTGGTGTCAGGGACGAATTGTACATGTAGGAAAGTTCATTGACTATTTGATTCTTGTTTAAGTATTGACAATGCAAATACATTGTTTTTTCTTGACGTGACGTTCTGCTGAGATAACAGAAAGTCATTAACACATATGCAACCGCGATTAAAACTGGGGGAGGGGGAAGGGGATTACAGAGTCTGGTGAGCGATGTTTGTGGTTATGTTACTCATATTAATCAGTGTCCAGTTGTCATAGAGACAGGCTCGATTCCTTATGCTCCTAAATCACAACTGGTACTACTACGATAATTACAACAATAAATATTGCTTCAGTGACAACAATCTACTACTACTACTACAACTACTACTACTACTACTACTACTACTACTACTACTACACAAGGAACTAATTATCAACACTACTACTACAACTACTACTACTACAACAACTACTACTACTACAACTACTACTACTTCTACTACTACACAAAGCACTAATAATCAACATCAAACCACAACTACTATCACAACTACAACAATTGCTACTAGTTATCGGCTACTACTGCTACTACAGCTACAGCTACTATAACTACCAATACTACCACTGTACCTAGGGAGCCAACCTGTCTCGTCATGCACACTTAAAAGGACAGCCAGTATACGTATATTCAGAAGGTCTCTGGTCATATTCAAATATAAACTTACTGAAAGGACCGTGCGGACATTACGATCTCACACAAGTATCAGCACAGACGTACAGTAAGGTGGGATACACGACTACGATATCGGAAAACATGTAAACAGTGTGTGTTCGAATAAACAAAAGCGATGAACCCATTTCCATATTAATAAGAAATCTCTGCCAAAAGCAGGGTCGATTGTACAATTCCGACCATATCATGAGCATGCTTCCGTGAATCACCATCATTCGAAACCAATTTTCAACAGATTGACATCATATAGTCAAGGTTTCACGTTTATCCACTGCTCTGAATCTTTAGAATGGTGTTAGCATGAGTCAAGTTATAACATGCTACATTTCAAAGTGTGAAAATTCAAAAGATCATTGATAGGTTCTGCTTTGTCAACACAAGTAAAGCTGGTGTCATCGCCGGGCGCGGGGCACGAATTAACTACAAAACACATCAGCTCGGAATACCTTCTTCATTCAAAAGGTAGCGTTTTAATGATTAAAATACGATTTATATCTGACAGTCATGTCTTTTCATTTACACGTGAAATGGTTTGTCATATCTGAATAGCTCCTCAGTTTCATTGTATGCCTATAACTCACCTAACAGTAAGAACGCACATCGAAATACCTGAACACTGCGAGCATAGCTCAGCATACAGAAAGACATATTTTTTTAAAAACATACTGAACATAAACTGAGATGTACATAGATGAATACGCTCATTTAGGCTTGTGAACACTGAATTATTTACTATTTGCTTTGGAGATGACCCCCGTCTTAGTCCAGATTAAGCAAGACACATGTATGACTACCGTATTTTCTTGAGTAAAGTGCGCACTTTTTTCCAAAAAACACAGCTGTGTAGAAAGGGGTGCGCATTATACACGAATTATGAGTTTTTATGTTTTTTCCCCTCATGGAAAGACATTACCGTGAGCACGTAACACCGGAAAATACCATGTCAACAAATCCATACTGAAGTACGCAAATTATTCATGTAATTACACTGTCTGGCTATAAAAAGTGTTCTTTGTATATCTGGACTTATGTTTGTAACTTATTTCAATGACATTAATTTTATTCAAAATTCCTTTTAATATTGTTTTAATTAATTTCGGCGAAATCGTGTGTGAAGCGATCGGAAGATCGCACAACTCACCGTTATTAACAGCAACACCGGTCAGATTACCGCTATTGACGCCTTGAAACGAACTTTAGTTGACAGAGAATGGATACATATATCATATGTCAAATATGTTTAGTAAAAGCTGCATCTAAATTAACAAGATATTGGAATATATTATTCCTGATAAAAAAAAGTTTCAGATACAATTTCTGCCGATCCTTGCATTAAAAATACTGTAAAGTTATATCATTGGGTGTGTCTTGACCGAATCACCGGTAGATTCCAAGAAAACGTGTGTACAGCTGATTGCTGTGTCCGGCTTAGTTTACGAGAAAATACACAAGGTAATCTTAATCCCTGGATATAAAACAATGCCTAGTAGAACAAAAAACACAATTTAAACGATAAATCAACATGTCTGGGGTTTTTTTTATCTCAAATTTCGAATTTGTACTGACTATTTGCTTTGGAAATGACCCCCGTCTTAGTCCAGATTAAGCAAGACACATGTATGACTACCCGGTAATTCCGAGAAAATATTCCAAGAAGCGGATAAGTGAAAAATCAGTTGGTCACCGTCTTGCGAATGAACCAATGCTATACTCATTCAAACAGGTAAGGAAACACTCACAGTTTGTACCATACTACATTGACGTAGCTGTATTTCTTGAAATTCACACACAATTTAAAGCTGTTGGTAACATATGGAACACTTGACAAGAAAAAAAAAGATTTTTGACTGGCAAACATTTTTGGTTGTTTTTGGAGACTGGTCCCAAGAACAGTCTTTGGTCATAATTTGGCAAATGTCAAAGTCAGGTGTCATGATAAGGAGGAAGGAGCACTCAAATATAACAATGCACATGCTTTCAATGATGTCTGTGGGTATGCTGCACACAATGGTATAAAGGATGACACTGCTGAATCCTGTCATTGCACTGGTTTAACCACCGACCGCCTCCGTGGTCTTGTGTTAGAGCGTCCGCCCGGAGAGCGGAAGGTCCGGGGTTCGATCCCCGGCCGCGTCATACCAAAAGACGTTAAAAGATGGTACTTGTTGTTACCCTGTCTGGCGCTCGGCATTAAGGGGCTAAAACAAGGACTGGTCGGCTCGGAGTCAGTATACTGTGTCTGAGTGGGGTATTCATGTTAAACTGCGGCATGGTATCTCAGTGAGCTAGCACTATAAATCGGCATCAGTCCGGACTAGTACAAGCAGCCACACAAACACACACACGTACATGCACGTCGCTATATAAGTGCAATAATCTTGGACGCGACGTTAAACCCAATTTCACCTCACCTCACCATAGCACCGAGACGACCATCAAGCCATGTAAACAGAGAAAGGGACATCACGTGGCTGCAAGATGCAATAGGCATCAGGGAAGTTGCCAGACGGCTCCAAAATGCACCATATGTGGCACAGGTTTCAGGCGGATGGAGAAGTCAAGTATCGGCCTCGTTCAGGCAGACCAAGATCAGCCACTGGAGCCGAGGACCGTTATGTCATTCTGACAGCTTTACGCAGCACCACAGCAGAATCATTGGGACTTCAACTGATGACAGCCACGCATAGACATGTCAGTGCACAGACAATCAGGTACCGTCTCAGAGTTGCTGGTATTAACTCCAGGCGTCAAGCTGTAAGATTACCTCTTCTGGCACGTTAAATAACTGCACGTCTTGCTTGGTGTCGAGCTCATCTCGGCTGGAATAGGCAGCAGTTATCGTAATTTTGTTCACAGACGAATCACGTTTCTGCATGCAGTTCAATGATGGACGTCTCAGAGTGTTTCGCCTGCAGAGGAGTAAGGTTTCAAGATGCCAGTCAGGAAACGAGAGCGGTTTGGTGGTGGCTTCAGTTTGAATAGGAGAACTCCACCGTATCATGGCAATGGAAATCTAAGAGGTATTCACTACAGGGACGAGTTTCTTCGGCCACTTGTTCTCCTTGCTTTGACGGCCATTGGACCTGGTGCCACACCAAAGGATGATAATACTCGTCCTCACAGGACGCTCGTGGCTACTGACTTCATCAACCGAAATGGGATCACCAGAATGCAGTGGCCTACCCATTCCCCAGATCTGGCACCGATCGAACACCTGTTGGACGTACTTGGACGACGTTTGCGTGCAAATCACCCCCATCCTGTCAGCCTGTAACAACTCGTCGAGGGGCTGCAAGCTGAGTGGCCAGCAATACACCAGGCAACTTTAAGGACTCTTGTCAGGTCCATGACACTCAGGTGCCTGTGTACTTTCCAGGGGTGGTGGTCATACACGTTATTGAGACCCTTATCATTCTCATGACTTTATGAAATGACACTACTGGTTTTGAAGGCGATATCTGGGTTACCTTGTTCACAGATGTAACCGCCCGACATCCACACGTAATCGCTATTGGATGTATCCTATTAAAAGCATCATTTTCTGTCGATTGTATTTTGTCTTTTTGTGTCCCATACCAAAACCTTGGTGTTCCCATACCTGCTTGAATTAGATATATAGCCCTAAATGAAACCAGTCCAGCAGGTTCTGGATCTCCCATCTCACTGGAGGATCCTTTTCAATTTCGCGTGACCTTTGACGTCATACTGGACACGTGTCCCCTGTTGTCCCGTTTGCAATGGGGGGCGGTCGGGTAGCCTAGTTGTTAAAGCGTTAGCTCGTCACGCCGAAGACCCGGGTTCGATTCCCGACATGGGTACAATGTGTGAAGCTCATTTCTGGTGTCCCCCGCCGTGATATTTGCTGGAATATTGCCAAAAGCGGCGTAAAACCATACTCACTCACTCACGTTTGCAATGACATCACTCCTCCAGTGTTTAGATGTACATTAGACAGTGTGTTGCGTCCCACAGCAGAAGAAAGGTTGATGGCTCGTTTAGTGAGGGTAGAGATGATGCCAGTCTTAGTTCTAAAGGGATGCAATTATCCTGTTTAATTGGCTTCATGTCCCATTGGCTTCCACCTATGTGTTCTCTGTCCATCGTGTTGTGACAGTATTATCCTTCTGTTGTCATTACTTACTCATGTCATCCCACTCATGTATGCAAATGTTGTTTCTGCTAATCCTCTGCTGTCAATCCTCCACCTACTATATATATTCTGTACAATGTTCCTCATTCACCGTGTGCGAAATACGCTGCAGTCGGAAAGCGCACGTTAAATCTTCTATATCAGTCAGTTCCTCATTCAGTTTTGATTGACAACGTTATAAGGATCAAAACCGAAACGTCGCAGTTACAGTATAAAAGAAGTTGTTATCCATAAAGTGTGTCTACTTTGTCATTCGTCAACTTCTAAGTAATGCCTATCAAACAAATTTTACAATGTTCTGAAATGTCACTGTCCCGACATACTGTTAAAGATACAGACACTCAAGTCACACATCAAAATATTAACACTCTTTGCAGGTTAACTCGAACACCGGCCATGTCATGTCGTACCGCCAACTCTCGTCCACAATCCGACGTCTGGCTCGTGGTCTTAGTAACCTCGGATTCAAGAGAGGCGACGTTCTCTGCATCTTCTCCCCGAATGTCATCGAGTACCCAATAGTGTTCTACGCAGTTGCCTCCCTTGGTGGTGTACTACAAGCGACCAACCCACTCTACAATGGAGGTAAGTCTGGCAGTATCACCCGCAAACACAGAAGAGTTCAACTCATATAACGCGTATCACAACCGAGGTCAGTTAATGAAGAATGTCGAGTTGGTTGGTATATGCACGGAGATCATGTTACCAACTCACAACGTGACAACGTCGATATGTCCCTCATACACAAGAATCGTAACAAAATATCATAATATTTCAACTGATCATCGATGGTATTAAATGCCTTGGTTCTTGTGAGTTCGGCATGTTGCACATAAAGCTATCATTTAACCAATGAACTACACCACCCATGAAACGTAAACGACTATTCCAATCATGTATATCCGTCGGGGACAACAGTCTCTAGTAGTTTAGGATCACTGACACAGGCTTACCAAAGAAATCAACAGAGAGCTACCAAACTATGGAATATGAACACCCTTTGAATAGAAATATCCCCACAAATTACAAAGACACACTCCTTGCATCGTAATGCTGAGATCCGGCACATCTTCAATGGAAACTGAATCACGCAAATGGCTTGCTGTTTGGTTCCATTTAAAATGTTTGGTATCCCCTCCTGGATTATTGCTAAACGCTACGTATGACCACTCATTCACTATTTAAACTGGTAGACAGCATGTGTTAAATATTCAGGTTGTTAACAGGGTGCTCTCTTGGACACGCCAGAAACCTATGATTGTGGGTTCGAATCCCGGTTCGCCCCACTTAGGTCTCTAGGTTTGTCAGCACCATAGCCGTGCTCGTGGGTTTCACCGAAGTGGTAGACGTCTGAGACCTGCATCACTTCGGGCTTTGCTCCCACATTAAGCTGACAGGCCACGATATAACTGGAATAATGTAAAAAGCGGCGTTAAACCCAACTCACTCACTCACTCACTCATTCACTGTTAACAGGGTGCATGTTTCCATATTGCCTAAGATGCAGCAATTGTGCAAAGTTGCGTCCCTTTGGCTTGCCAGGATCGAGAGATCGTGTGATCAAATCCTAGTAAGCCCTTATAGTGGTCGTTGGTTTGTCAACACTTGTGTTCGTCTTGATTATCGGCTCTACATCTTCCCGAGGCAAGAGCGTTAACTGACTTTACAAGTCCAGTTTCCACCCTTGCCGAACTAGGCTGGAATTCCTGGGCTCGATCATAGCGCCACCAGTGGCTATTACGAGTTATGTCCATTCTATGCCTCTCCCATATGTACCAATCAGATTCCACCTCTCGTATCACATGCATTTGTTTCAAACAAAATGGTGGCGCCCAATCAAGATGATCTGATCGATAATCAATATCTATTTTGTGATATAACGGTTCTTACTTCGCGAAGTACATCAAATCACGTGAGCACCTGGATTAAAAACATGAAAAGTTTTTGAAAATATCTGTTGACAACGAGCTGGCGATGCACATGCTTTGCAAATCCTTCAATCGACCGAACTCTGCATGACAGTTTACGAACCGGATTTCGATTTCGGTGCGCGATTTTGATTGGACTATGCATAGACTCGTTAGTCCAGCCAAAATGTAACTCCATAATACCAGCCTAGTTCGGCAAGGGTGGAAACTGGACTTTTATAGTCAGTTAACTCTCTGGCCTCGGGAAGATGTCGGCTCTACGACTTGCACCTCTTTCCTCCCACTTTGAACTGACACGCTGATATTACTGGAAGATTGTTAGAAGCGGCGGCGTTCAATCCAACTCACTCACTCACTCACTCACATGTGTGTTTCCAGATGAACTCAAACACACCATTGACATCTGTAAAACCAAGTTCCTCCTGACACTGCCGGATATGCTTCCAGTCGTCAGGCAGGCCCTGGCCCAAGCCCATGGCGTCCAGGTAAGAGTTGCTAGGAGGTCAAATGTTGCTAGACGAGGACACATTAATATGCAGCCCCATGTAACGTGACACTGCATATGATATGTTTTGACAAGTACACTTCAGGGGGAAGGGCCCGGGTGGGTGGGGGATGGGGGTGGCCATTTCACTTTGTTAATGTTCATATTTATAACGTAGACGAATGCTTCTTGAGAGAGTCAATCGTTACTCAAATAGTTATCCGATCACAACTTCATCCATTTACAGAAAAACAAAACGCTACGTTTTAAAAGTGTGTCACTATAGGCTCTGCGCATTGATTGATGAGGTGGCGTTAAACACTAATCACTCACTCACTCGAGGTTTACAAATAGACCTGTCTTTGACATTTCAGAAGGTTATCGTGCTGGGTGAGGCTGAGGGCTGTGTCAGCTTCGCCTCCCTCATCACGCCGGATATTTCTGATGCACCAATAAGCGACCAAGGCATCGACCCAAAGAACGACGTCACCGCAATACTGTTCTCCAGTGGAACGACCGGAAAACCAAAAGCAGTGCAGATATCTCATTATGCGATGACGTCCAACGTACTACAGTTGTTGTAAGTATAGACAGATAATATGTATGTGTGTGTGTTTGATTTGTGTGTATTTGTTTCTTTGTAACTCTCTTTCTCCCTCCTTTATTCTCTCTCTCTCTCTCTCTCTGTCTCTCTCTCCCTCTCTCTCTCTCTTTCTCTCTCTCTCTAAATATATATATATATATTTAAATATTATATATATATATATATATATATATATATATATATATATTATTATTATTATTATTATTATTATTATTATTATAATATATTTAAATTGAGTAAACTGCTTATTCCACCAGGGAACCGGGACTCCTGACGGAGAAGGACTCCTACGTGTCGTTTCTACCCTTCTTCCATATCTACGGGCTAGGCCCTATCATCTCCACCGGGCTATACAGTGGGGCCAAGAATGTTGTCATGTCCAGATTCGACGTTCATGAGTACTTGCGCAACATACAGGAACATAAGGTCAGTCTACTACTACTACTACTACTACTACTACTACTACTACTACTACTTCTGCTACTACTACTACTACTACAAATTATTATAATTATAATGTTTTTACCATCACCACCAAGGTAATGGTGCAAGTACAGCAAGAAACGTAAGGGGTGTGATGAGTGTACTCAAGTTTGCCGTGGTCCTTTCCGTGGTCGTTGCACGGAATCAGACAGATGTAAAATGTAAACACCTCACTTCAGCTCAATTTACTACCCACAAACGTAAGTGTGAGAGGCGTGACAGCGATAGACGTTCAATGTCAACATCATTGGAACAAGAACCATCATCTCCCAAGAAAACTAAGGGGGTTTGCATGGAGACCAGATATTATTTTAATTTACTATAAGCCAAAATATTTTTGTCTTAAACATTCATTCCCACAATGTAATTTGTGTGGCAGACAATTTCTTTATTTTCCGTCAGTGTGAAAGATAATTTTTTTCAAGAATTTTCAGGTACAATCCCAACCCCCAAAATGTCAATGGTCGCCCCATACGCGTCTCTTACTAAAACTAAACAAGGCCTTCTCTCTCTTTAGAAGACTCAAGAATAAGCTTAAGACACCTACATTTAACATCAAGGAGTGCCGCACCCATGGGATGGACTCCATCGTCTCTCACCCGAACTTGACGGCGACATATCAACCCGAAGAGAACGCGTCACTCCATCGTTGGAGATCTTGAGTTGGCTCATTTGGACACCATGATTCGGCGTACGCTCCCGTTGATCTCTACGATCCTATCAATGGCTGAAGCCATGCATTGCGATGTTGGTGGCCAATGAGAAGAAGACGGAAGAGGCTCACATCCGGAGAGAGAGCGTGCTGATACATGAAAGGTTTCAGACTGTGATGGACCAGCTCTCCCATTATGCCGGTTACATAACAGCTCTACGCAGGACGGGTGTCGTACAATCCTGTTAAAGGGAGGAACAATTTAAAACTCAGCTTTACAATCTACCTTGGTCGTCCGCATTCCTCTTTGCCAATGGGATTCAGGCTATAGCCAAGGAATTCACGAAAGATACTCAACTCGATCTCCTTAAACAAGAGAGGTAACAACTGCAAGACAATCAGCACCTTAGACAGAAGAGGGGCGGTGGGGTAGCCTAGTTGTTATAGCGTTCGCTCGTCACGCCGAAGACCTGGGTTCGATTCCCCACATGGGCACATGTGTGAAGCCCATGTCTGGTGTCCCCCGCCGTGATTTTGCTGGAATATTGCTAAAAGCTTAGACGGAAGACTCAGACCACTTCAGCTCACTCCGACTTGATAGGACTGATCATGTGATATTCTAGGGGTTGGGGGCTGGGATTTTATTAAAAAATATATGTTGTCCCCGAAAATCCTTGAAAATAATAATTATGCTTCAGACTTTTACATTGTTGCAAGGTGTTCTTCTTAAACAAATTCAGACTGAAAAATATCTAATCTTAATACAAAATCCCAGACCCCCCTCCCCCCCTCAGAATATCAAATGGCCGGTCCCTTACGAGAGACATTCCAGGCAAACATTCGTGTTAGGATGCATCCGGGACAGAGCACCAGAAGTTCTAAATCCAGCATCACTAGGACTGTTACCTTGAACGCAGGGAAGGACAGAGGAGTGTCCGACTCCTCCACCAAGTGACTCAGTAGCAGGACTGAACAACTGAGGCCCTCCGATCCCAGTCGTACCCCTATATCATACACTTGTAGGCGGAAGTCGTGGACTTTTTGCAGCCAACTGGATGACTTTGGGAGACCTTACATCGCAGCACTTCTGACTGAAGGCTACAGACTTCCATCAACAGCAACGTCTCCAGGTACAACAACTCCATTGAACAGGACCTCGCTTCCAGTCAAGTTCCGACCCTACAAGACACATTGGGGTGCTATTGGACAAGCATGCACCAATGTCTCATGCCGGAGGACAGCGGCAAGCATGATTTTCAATATGAAGACCTTCAAAGCGGAACAGCACCTCACATCCACATGGTATCGATCGCTCTGCTTCTTACGATCATTCGTTCGGGGGATTAAATGCTCAACCTCGATCTGCAAGATGCGTACCTTCACGAATTCATCGTGATCATTATGGAAGGTGTTCCCGTTTGTCATTTCTAAACATATCTAAACTAAACATGGCTGTAAGAATATTTAGCATTTTATTATAAGCTTCACACATCCACCCCCACACCCACACCCACACCCACACCCACACCCACCCCCACCCCATCAACCCATTTAAGCATCAGCCCATTTGGCGTTTTAAGTTACACATAATTATGATATAAGAGAACAGGATTATAGTTGCTTCCGTTGTGGAGCATATAATAAAACGGAGGACTATGTGACAGACGGGGTAATCATTGTTTTCTTCTCTAGTAGGATGCACGTCACATATTAACCTCACGAAATATTAACGCAAGAGGTTCTCCTTTGCGTCTATACACCTCGATATAAGGCGACTATACTGATCCATTCCACAGGCCACCGTGCTGCACCTGGTGCCACCCGTCATGGTTCTGTTGACCACCCTGCCCACTGTCCGGCAGTATGACCTGAGCAGTGTTCACCGAGTCCTTTGCGGAGCTGCGCCTCTGAGCAAAGACATCGAAGCGAAGATTCTAAAGATATTCAACATCAAGCATGTTTCACAAGGTACTATTTAGCATCACAAAATTCTTTTAGTAACAGAAGAAAGTACTAATATTGTTAGGTTTTGACGGCTTTCCAGGGACGTAAGTCATTATAAACCATAAAATTCATACTGTTTGGGATTTTGGCTGTTGAAAGAAAGGGTTTGAATGTGTGTGAATTATACATATAAAACCCCTTAATTTTTCCATCTTTTTACCCTATTATTTATGTAACTGTATACAACTCATAATCTGTAAATAACGAATTTAAAGTTAATCAATTATAAAATCAAATATACGTCCATGGCGCTCTGTACAAACTAATAGCTTGTCTATTGATTATCGTAGTTATTGAAGGTACTTGGTATTTTAAGTTAGTAGTTATAAAAGTAATATGTCCTTCACATTAGCCAAGTATAACACCGGATGTAACTTCCAGGCTTCGGGATGACGGAATGCCAAGTAACACACTTGTCACTTGATGTGATGCACAGGTTCGGCTCGGTCGGGACTGTCGTTGCGGGAACCGAGTGTAAGGTAGGGCAGGCATCTTCAAAACAATACATTCCCTCAAAACTAATAGTGAGTTTTGTGAATTTTACTCTGGGGTGGGAAGGTGGCGTGGGGATAGTTATTTAATCAGGTGTTATTAATATACAGTGAACTACGGTTATAACGAACACAGAGGGACAACTGATTGCAGTTCGACATAACCGTAGTTGGTTACAAGCATATTGGGCGTCAATCTAGTTACAGCACGGTGTGTCATCGCAATGTTGGCGGAAGCCAGAAGGGCGTATATTGTGGCGTCTACCACCTTCAGGAACCTCCGAGAACGGGTATGGTTTTTACTGACCAAGGAACAAAATCCGGGCGTTTGAGGGATTCGAACCAACGATCATCAGATCCTCTCAGCAAAGGTGGGAAACCCTGCACATTGCAATCACTCGAATTAGGAACCGACTATTTGATAATCCGGGGAAGGAAGGGCTGGGATTTTGTATCAGGATTAGATATTTTTCAGCTACTGCTACAAAACCGGATATATTTTTTATTTAAATCTATAATCCTGATTATTATTATTTTGGAAAAAACCCCGCTATTCAACAATGTCCTTTTTGTGGGAGGCAATTTCATTTTTTTCAACAAAGCATGTCTAAAGCAAAGTTGTTGTTTTTCAGGTTTACGATAAACTTATCAAATGGTCGTTCCCTAATGGGGCCTTTACACATGGTGGCGACCTTTGTGCCTAAAAGTGTGCGACCATAAAATTTTCCAGGTCGTCGTTGGAGGCTCAAAGGAGGCAGAATGGTTGCCTGAGTCGTTCCAAAGTGGTACACAGGAGGTTCAGACATCGCCATGGACGCCATGGTCGCCGTGAATTTTTGAACATGTTCAAAACAGTCGCACAAAGGTCGCCGAGGAGGTTGGTTGCTCACAAAGGAGGCAGAAGGGAGGCACAAACATTGCCGTTGTTGCAGAATGAAGGCACAGTGGTCGCCCAATGGTCGCCAGGTAATATATGCGTTCTGCTGAAATATTTTCCCGTCAATCTGGGCGATGCTTCTGCCTCCCTTGTGCCTCCATTGGGCGACCAACAGCGTGCATTGAACGATGACTGTGGCGACCGCCGTGTCTCCATTCGGCGACCACGGCAACCCTTGTGACATCATGGCAATGCTTCTGCTTCTTTTCTGCCTCCTTTGAGCTACCTGTAGTGCCTCCTCGGCCTGCCTATAAATATAGGGCTTGTACCTGCAGTGTTTCAGTGTGGTTGCAGACACTGGACAACACTAGCAGTTTCTGCTGAACAACTGCTGGAGCAGTTACATAGAAACATGATCTCCTGGGTTTAGGCGACCATTGAGCGTCCTGGCCAGTTTTTGATCGCTCAAAGACGGCACAACGGTCGCAGACCTGTGTAAAGGGGCTTTTACTTGACCACCCGGAACTCTCTGGGTAGCTGTAAGTTGTTTTTCCAAACTGGCTGCGTCCCTGTTAATGATGACTGTGTAGTTTCATGGGGATTATCATACTGTAATGGTTCTTTGCGTGATCAGACGCGTGACTAAGGACGACTGTCGTCACGGATCCCCTCGGATATATAAGGTCCCCATATCCTGCGTTTGTAATAAGAGCCGACGTATGAGGATCGGTGTGTAGCACCGTCTGGCCTGGCTGACTGTGTGTCATCGTTCCCCGACGGCGGGGATCGTTGCTCATGCTGTCAATCACTGGTTTACCTCGCCGAGAGTCGATTATTTCCAGACTGTCGGTATATAGCTGTCAAATTGCTGACTATGGCGCGAAACGCCTTTCATCCACATAATATTTCACAGATAGTCGACCTAGAGACCGGAAAGTCCCTCCCCTCAAACAAAGATGGTGAGGTCTATGTGAGAGGGCCAGGCTTGATGAAAGGGTACCTGTCAAACCCTGGTGCCACGAGCGCCATGTATACCGAGGATGGATGGATGAAGACAGGTGCGGATTTATATTAATAATAATAATTCTTGGCGTGAAATGAAATATTATACTATTGCTCTCGCCACTTGAAATAGAACCACGTCATATTAATATGATTATTAAGATGATTAGTAGTGAAGAATGTGTATGTGTGCTAATACTTATATAGTGTAAATAAGGCATTCCGTCGATAAGGAGTATTAGCCACAGTAATGACAAAGATTGCAAAGTGTGATTTTCATCATCCTACTCAGCTATATATAGCAGCATGTGTAGCGTACACTTATTACGTACTCAGCTATGTATAGCAGTATGTGTAGCGTACACTTATTACCGACTCAGCTATATATAGCAGCATGTGTAGCGTACATTTATTACCGACTCCGCTATACACATGTATATAGCAGCATGTGTAGCGTTCACTTATTACCGACTCAGCTATATATAGCAGCATGTGTAGCGTACACTTATTACCGACTCCGCTATACACATGTATATAGCAGCATGTGTAGCGTACACGTATTACCGACTCAGCTATATATAGCAGCATGTGTAGCGTACACTTATTCCCGACTCAGCTATATATAGCAGCACGTGTAGCGTACACTTATTACCGACTCAGCTATATATAGCAGCATGTGTAGCGTACACTTATTACCGACTCAGCTATGTATAGCAGCATGTGTAGCGTACACTTATTACCGACTCAGCTATATATAGCAGCATGTGTAGCGTACACTTATTACCGACTCAGTTATATATAGCAGCAAGTGTAGCGTACACTTATTACCGACTCAGCTGTATATAGCAGCATGTGTAGCGTACACTTATTACCGACTCAGCTATGTATAGCAGCATGTGTAGCGTACACTTATTACCGACTCAGTTATATATAGCAGCAAGTGTAGCGTACACTTATTACCGACTCAGCTGTATATAGCAGCATGTGTAGCGTACACTTATTACTGACTCAGCTATGTATAGCAGCATGTGTAGCGTACACTTATTACCGACTCAGTTATATATAGCAGCAAGTGTAGCGTACACTTATTACCGACTCAGCTGTATATAGCAGCATGTGAAGCGTACACTTATTACCGACTCAGCTGTATATAGCAGCATGTGTAGCGTACACTTATTACTGACTCAGCTATATATAGCAGCATGTGTAGCGTACACTTATTACCGACTCAGTTATATATAGCAGCATGTGTAGCGTACACTTATTACCAGGGCCTACTTGCTTACACAAATCGATCTTAGCGCAGAGATGGTCGTTACTCCCATACTTTACATAGCCTTACGATAGTTGTAGCGCTAAGATCGCTCTGTGCATGTGGGCCCTGAACTAAAAGTAACAAGAGGACAAGGTCATCGGTATCATCCTCAATGGCGAATACTTACCGTAGATAAATATATGAAACGTGTTGCCATGGAAACTTGAAAAAGTAATTTCTAAAAAATCCCAAACTGTCATAACGTACCAGTTGACCACTGTACCTTTTTATGTCAAAGTCCTTGCCACGGAAACTCGACAAGTATTTGTTTAAAAACTCAAAAACTGTCAAAAGTCACCAGTTCACCACTATCTATGTGTCACGATTGGTGAAGAGCTATTTTACGATTCTGACGATCTGCTCCAGATACGAGCACAACCCCCATTTTCAGTCAGAGCAGTTGCTTTGGAAACTCGAAAAAATAATTTTTAAAACACCCCAAACTATCAAAGGGCGCCACTTTACTACTGCACCTGTCTATGTGCCAAGTTTGGTAAATAGAATTAATTGTACAGTTTGGTTGATGCATGTAATCGTATCCCAATTGCGTGGGTCGATGATCATGATATCACTCATTGGATAGTCTGGTCCAGACTCGATTATTTACAGACCGCTGCATATAGCTGGAATTTGCTAGGCGCGGCGTTAAACAACAAACAAATGTATACTTATACTTATATCCAACTGCCTTTCTCCACAGGTGATATCGGCCATGTTGACGACGAGGGGTTTCTCTTCATTGTTGATCGGCTGAAGGAGCTCATCAAATACAAGGCCTTCCAGGTAAACACAGGCTTTGGGGCAGGTTGGTCCAGCTCACCTAGTCCAGCAAGTGTCCAGCAGACCAATATAGAAGAACTGACGTTCGCTTTAAATTGTCTTTACATCCGAGTGTGAAGCAGGATCTTCAGGAAGCGTTCGCAAAATCACAAACACCATCATCAACAATTTGTATTGACGGTGATGTGCATGTTCGTTGAGGAAGGCAAAACAGTATAAATCGTGCATGGGTTCATAATCTAAAGAATTTTTTTCACAGATCAGTACCTGACTCCTCATCACATGGACAATCTAGATATGATGTAAATTTATCACACGTAGGTACGAAGACTTATACTCATAGATAGAACTGGGAGTTCCCTGAGCCTTGGCTGAGCCTGGATAAAACACACCTAACCTGCTGGTAAGTCAGGATTAGTTGAGTTGTGACCTGACAACACCCCGTATGACTCTGTATCCAGTCCGCCCACTGGCGCGTACCATAATGAATAAGGGGTAGCGGGTGGTCCGCGACAAGTAGTACGATGAATATGTGAGTGCCCTGTCTCGGCCAGCAACGGGTTATAGTGGCGAGTTTAAAAGCATATTTTAGTACGCACTGATGTGAGGTACCTGATGATTGTGAAAATGGTGACAGCACATTTCCATGGCTAAACAATTGAGAAGTATTGAGGGAATTCATTTGCTGTTAAAATCGAATAACATTTTTTACTCAAGAGCAATAATGACAAGTGTAATGGCATTCCCGCTCTACCTTTAACAAACTAAACATGTTTGTCCAGATTATGTCACCGCCTACTTAACTTAAACGTGTTTTGTAAATTGCTTCAACTTGTCCTAGATTACCAGTAGGACAAGTTGTCATTTTCATCTTTCGGTATCCATTTCACTTACCCTGAATTCTTTATGTGTCATATGGACACTCAGCTAGTCGTTGTTTGTTTGCTTGTTTGTTGTTTAACGCCGCACTCAGCGATATTCCAGCTAATTGACGGCGGTCTGCAAATAATCTTGTCTGGACCAGACAATCCAACTGGGATACGATGACTTCCCTCAACCAAGTCAGCGAGCCTGACCACCCGATCCCGTCAATCGCCTCTCGATTATTTGCAGACCGCCGTCAATTAGCTGGAGTGTGGCGTTAAACAACAAACAACAACAACAATATCCTAGTCATGTAATTCCTCGCCAGGTGGCGCCAGCTGAGCTGGAGGATGTTCTGTTGAGTCACCCCAGCGTGGCAGATGTCGGTGTCATCGGTATCCCGGATGTGGAGGCAGGAGAGTTGCCCAAAGCCTTTGTTGTCAGGAAACCAGGGTCAATGACAACAGAACAAGAACTGCAAGATTTTGTGAAAAGTAGGAAACCTTTTTACACGTTTATCATGGGGCGAGCGTATTACTATCTTTTGTTCATTAGATGCTTATTGTCTTAACGCCGCACTCAGCAATATTCGTTATATGGCCTGTAAATAATCGAGTCTGGACAAACCAGTGATTGATGCCAAGTGCAAGTCCCATGCCATAGGGTTCCGATGACATGCAGTCAACCATGACCTTTTCTTGGGATAAGGTTCGGGGATATTTCAATACCCAAACATTCTGCCTCCAAAAGCTGGAAAAATACATTTCTTTAAGCTCTGACAATATTAAATGTCGTTTAAACAGTTTAAAAGAAAATGAACAATTGACTATTGTAAAATCAGGGAATATTTATAATTCCTTATTATTAATAATTATTTTGGTCAGATTCACACAGGGTATATACATAATCCTTTAAATTACCACGTTTTTTAGGCATCTTCCCCGAAACTGCTTCGTTCATTGTTAGAAGAATTATTATCTCAAGTATCAATATAACATTGTTGTAGAGTTGATTAAAATGAATAGGTTTGCATAAACATTATTCACATAACATATGGAATCTGTAGTACACCTGGTAATTTCGGGATTATGTATATTCTCTGCGTAAATCAGACTTTACATATATTCCCGAAAATTTCAGGGAGTTGTCATAGTCCCTGATTTGGCATATTCATATACTGCCATAAACTTAATTACCTTCCCTTTTCTGTTACACCAAATAAAGCAACAACATTAAACAAATCTGGAAAATTTAAACCCTTGATAGATGTGACTTTTACTGATCAATGTGAAAATGAGAATACAGCGTTTCAGTCATGAATCAATGTAACACCGAATCTGAGTGTGTCTCATTCAGCGCCTTCCCCCCTTGCAGGTAAAGTATCTGGAACCAAGAGACTCCGGGGAGGAGTGACCTTTCTTGAAGAGATTCCAAAGAGCGCCAGCGGCAAGATCCTCAGAAGAATGCTGCGAGACATGGAGAAAAACACTAGGTCAAAGTTGTAGGAGGAGCCTTAGGGCACAGAGAAAACCATAAACAATAACATTGATATACAGATATACTTAACGTATCTATTGTTAATGTATATATTTATTAATTCACTAAAACAATGGGGAACACTTTAAGAATACATGCCCACAGAACGACAGATATTAACACTGGGATCACACAATTAATATTTCATGGACATATTTGAAATTGTGTAAGAAAATAGTGTACTGCTTTGCGTGGTCATGTTGCCTTGTCTTATCCATTCTGTCAATCAGCACTTCTACAATCAGGATAATAATAATAATTGTTTAAATTGATTAAAAAAAATATATGAGTACTACCACAGGGCGACGCACGCTGGAGCTGAGTATGAAAATCGAGTGCACACTGATCCATTATTTTGTGTGACAATTTATACGCAATAAAAAATCCTTAAAACATCACTTAAATTTGTTTTTTTGTTTTTTTTGCAAGAAGCCAGCTTTGAATGTGTCATATGTTTTATGGACCGCCTCCATGGTCTTGTGGAAGAGTGTATATACGGAGAGCAGAAGGTGGGGAGTTCGATCACCGACCGCGACGTAACAGTGAAAAGTTTCTACTTGTTGTTACCCTGCCTGGCGCTCGGCATTAAAGGGCTAAAACAAGGACTAGTGCATGCACGTCTCCATATAAATACATTAACCTTGAACGTGACGTTGAACCCCATTTCACCTACATGTGGGGTACGGACCAGTCGTACATGGCGCAGAAATTGGCTTCACAGGGTTGCGTCCCTTAGGATCCTATGACCGTAGGTTCGAATCCCTGATTATTGTTCATAGTCTTTCAGCGCCATACTCGCTCTCGCGAATGTCACCAACGAGACCTGTATCTCAGGGATAACTATTTCATTACTTTTGAACACTGACTTTTAAGTACTATGACTTGAACACAATATTCCTTTGTATTTTGTCTCCATGTTTTCATTGTTGTAGGACATTCCGTTTGGGTTGGTTGGTTTGTGGTTTAACGCCGCACTCAGCAATATTCCAGCTATATGACGGCGGTCTGTAAATAATCGAGTCTGGACCAGACAATCCAGTGATTGACACAATGAGCATCGATCCACGCAATTTGGATATGATGACATGCATCAACCAAGTCACCGAGCCTGACCACCCGATCCCATTTGTCGCCTCTTACGACAAGCATAGTCGCCTCTTACGGCAAGTATGGGTTGCTGAAGACCTATTCTACCCAAGATCTACATAAGTCGAAAACAATTGGTAAACTCGTGCATCAAGTTACATGACAAACTGTGTTCCGTAAACACTACAGAACTTCGATAATATATAAACGTGGTGTTGTGGAACTATTATAAAACTGTGCAAATACAAACCATTGGCTTTGTTTCAAAAGTGGCTATTTGTAGCGTGGTGTCAAACGAAACCATCAAATGAGTTATGGTAATTATCTACATATCTCCGCTATACAAGTTGAATATTGATGAATGTGTCGCCCTTTTAATGCCTAATGAAGTTTTATTATAGGTTATCTTTACTTATATAGTATAGTCGTATTCCAATTGCAAAGATCATGATGTCAAGCACTGCATTGTCTGGTCCACATTATCTACACGCCACCGTCATATACCTGGAATAGTGCTGCGTTAAACAACAAAGAACGAAAGCAAGAAAGTATAAACTATAGACAACGTATGGGGTCCCTCCTGTATCCAATTAAACATTGGCACATTTTGAGTTTGAGCTGAACACAATGCTAATATAAAGAACATGACCTAATTTGCTTCTGCCCTTTGGTCATATCATAAAACATGGGAGTTCTCCTTTGCGTCTATACACCTCGATATAGGGCGACTATACTGATCCATTCCACAGGCCACCGTGCTGCACCTGGTGCCACCCGTCATGGTTCTGTTGACCACCCTGCCCACTGCACGGCAGTATGACCTGAGCAGTGTTCACCGAGTCATTTGCGGAGCTGCGCCTCTGAGCAAAGACATTGGAGCGAAGATTCTAAAGATATTCAACATCAAGTATGTCACACAAGGTGCTATTTAGCATAAAAAAAACATTTTGAAGCAAGTACTGATGAGGGCAGATTTGGACTTTATATGCATGAATTATACACACAAAACAGCATGTTGTGTCAGTGTTACCTGTTATTTGTGTTTGTACCGGTTATGCGTAGGATCAAACACGTCAGAGGGTTTTTGCGAGATATGAAACCCGAATCCAAGGGATTAAACCGAGGATAAGTGTTTTATCTAACATATAAACTGAAAAAGAAAGTTAGCGTAAAACAACATGGATCAATATTTTTAGGTTTCAAACATATTTTCCACGAACCTAAGTAAACGGGCGTAAAATATCTGTTGCTGGCGTACGGTACTTGAAAAAGACATTCTGAAAAGTGTGGTGATTTGTCAACGCCTCTGGAGCCTTGTGGTACAATCACTGGGCTACAGATACGTAGGTTGCGTGTTCCATCATCGGGATTATAAAAAAACATTAGTCATTTTAATTTACATTACATTACATTCTGCTCCAAAAAGAAAATATATTTCTTGCGAAAAATATATTACAATATAAACGGTTGTATTTAAAAAGTCCACGGGCATATTATACTCTTCAAAAAAAGAAACGCAATACGGATATCTTTGGCCATAGAAGCAAAATTAGCGATCAAGAAGTGCAAAATGAAATACAGCAGCACTGTGAACCGGTATTAAAGTGCAGGGTTTTTGATTGCCTGGCATCTGCATCAATCGAACAGTGACAGTTCAACAACATTCCAAGATTAACAGAAGTTCAAAGAAACAACGTCATAGGCCGCTTGCAGGCAGAAGAATCCCGATCAGCTGTAGCCAGGGTTTTCAATGAAGCGCCCAGCATCATCAAAAGGCCATGGGATCGGTTTCAACAGTATGGGTCAACACGTGATCGGCCAAGAGTAACCATCCCCGCCCAAGATCGCTTCATCCGACGGTTCCACCTACGCGAAAGGACGACAACAGCCACCTCAACCATATCCCAAATAACCCGACTGCGCAGAATCTCCGACCAGACCGTACGAAACCGTTAAAGAGCAGCAGGTCTACGAGTAAGACGTCCTGTTCGACGCGTCATATTGAGTCGACAACATTGTCAACTACGACTGCATTGGTGTCGTCAACACAAGGTATGGCCTCAACAGGGATGGAGAGATGTCTGGTTCAGCGACGGATCAAGATTTCCCCTCCGTCGAGGTGATGGAAGAGCACGGGTCTACATTTGTCGGGGAGAACGTTACGCCGGAAACTTCGAACAGGTAGTGGACAGGTTTGGTGGGGGTAGCGTTATGATGTGAGTGGCTATCTCTCATCGTGGAAGGACAGGTTTGGTCCAAATCCCATGGCAATCTTACGGCTCACGATACATCAACGAAATTCTCCTACCACACGTTCTCCCAATTGAAGCCATCGGCAACGGTGTATTCCAGCAGGACAACGCCAGATCCCCGGACTTGAACCCGATACAGCACGTGTGGGATAAATTGAATAGACGGCTACTACGAGGTCAACCACAACCCAAGACGTTGCAGCAGTTGGCTTTTGGTTTGCAGGCCGTGTGGGCTACCATTACCCAGGATTCACATACTCGTCTCTTCCATGGGCAGGAGATGTCAAGCCGCTATCGCTTCCAACGGAAAACATACGCGTTATTGATGGTAGCTGTCCTTCAGCTTGGACTTTTCCTATGTACCGATAACTGAGATGACTACAATCACCAAGTGTTGTCTCCACACACATATCACTTGATGAGATGCACAAACTCGACGCAGACATCTTCAACACAATACATGTACATTAACTCAAAACTACCAGTGAGTTGGGGAATTTGACTCTGTGCGGGTGGGCAGTACGGGAGCCTTTTAGGGTCATTTGTTTTTTTAATTTTTTCTTGAAATTTCAAGTTACTAAGTTGAAATTTCAAGATACATACTATGTTGAAATTTCAAGATAATAAGTTGTAATTTCATGTTAATATCTTGAAATTTCAACTGATTATTTAGAAATTTCAAGATCATTATCTTGAAATTTCAACTTAGCATCTTGAAATTTCGACTTAGTAACTTGAAATTTCAAGATACTAAATTGAAATGTCAAGTTATTATCTTACAATTGCAACTTATTATCTTGAAATTTCAACTTAGTATGCATCTTGAAATTTCAACTTACTAATAGTATCTTGAAATTTCAAGAAAAAAACAAAAAAACAAATGGCCCTAAAAAGCTTCCGTAGTGAAGGAACGTGCGTGGCAACGTCTGGCTGATTGTGTGCCATCGTCCCCCGAACGCGCGGATCGTTGCTCATGCTGTGAATCACTGGTTTATCTCACAGAGAGTCGATTACTTCAAAGGCTGTCGGCATATAGAGTTGTGATTATTACTGACTATGGCGCAAAACAGCTTTCACACACCTGTTATTTAACAGATAGTCGACCTAGAGACCGGAAAGTCCCTACCCGCAAACAAAGATGGTGAGGTCTATGTGAGAGGGCCAAGCTTGATGAAAGGGTACCTGTCAAACCCTGGTGCCACGAGCGCCATGTATACCGAGGATGGATGGATGAAGACAGGTGCGGATTTATATTAATAATAATAATTCTTGGCGTGAAAGGAAATAATAATAACAATAATAATAATAATAATAATAATAATAATAATAGATGATAATTTTAAGAATGACACTTTCATTCCTTCATACTTCTCTCTTCACTTCATGGGGTAGGTAGCCTTGTGGCGTTCCCTCGTCAAGCCGAAGACCTGGGTTCGATTCCCTACATGGGTGCTATCTGTGAAGCCAATTTCTGGTGTGTCCCATTCCCCATTTCGTGTTATTGCAGGAATATTGTTAAAAGAGGCGTAAAACAACACTCACGTATTCAGTGTAACTTGAACACCGCGGCGATGCAACATACACTCACTCACTCACTCACTCACTCACTCACTCACTCACTCACTCGTCTTGTTTGTTCGTTTACTTTTTCGAAATCCAACTGCCTTTCTCCACAGGTGATATTGGCCATGTTGACGACGACGGGTTTCTCTTCATTGTTGATCGGCTGAAGGAGCTCATCAAATACAAGGCATTCCAGGTAAACACAGGCTCAGCGGCAGATTGGTCCAGCTCACCTAGTCCAGCAAGTGTCCAGCAGACCAATATAGAAGAACTGACGTTCGCTTTAAATTGTCTTTACATCCGAGTGTGAAGCAGGATCTTCAGGAAGCGTTCGCTAAATCACAAACACCTTCATCAACAATTTGTATTGACGGTGATGTGTATGTTCTTTGAGGACGGGGGCGGTCGGGTAGCCTAGTAGTTAAAGCGTTTGCTCGTCACGCCAAAGACCCGGGTTCGATTCCCGACATGGGTACAATGTGTGAAGCCCATTTCTGGTGTCCCCCGCCGTGATATTGCTGGAATATTGCTAAAAGCGGCGTAAAACCATACTCACTCACTCACTCACTCTTTGAGGACGACAAACGCGTAAAAACAGTATACATTGTTCTTGTGTTCATAAGTTAAAGGATGCGTGAAGATCCGGGGTAGAATAGGTCTTCAGCAACCCATGCTTGCCGTAAAAGGCGACTATGCTTGTCGTGAGAGGCGACTAACGGGATCAGGTGACCCAGGCTCGCTTACTTGGTTGATGCATATCATCGTGTCCCAATTGCGTGGATCGATGCTCATGATGTCAATCACTGGATTGTCTGGTCCAGACTCGATTATTTACAGACAGCCGTCATATAGCTGGAATATTGCTGATTGCGGCGTTAAACAACAAACATACAAATCATAAGCTAAATAATTTGTTCCACGGACTAGTACCTGATTCCTCATCACTTGAAGAATCCAGATATTATACTGAACCAAATTAAAAACTTCACAATCCTAAAATTTTAACATTTTGACCAGTTATCATTGTGGGCCCTTATTGTGTATTTAAACAGTAATGGCCACGTATTGTCTTCAGATAACACCCGTTTTTGTGCAGGTGAATCGATCAAAATCATGTGCACAGCACTATAGTGGCAAAAGTGGTTTTTCACGTGCAACTGGTCACGTGGCCATAATACCGCACGTGTTTTCAACCATACTTGTTAGCAGTCATTAACAAAAAAAGAAAAACACAAGAAAACAAAAGTCTTTACGGCCATTTGTCATGCCACGCCTTTCAAATGTGCAACGTGAACGTGCAATCGGCATGTTGCAGACGGGAACGTCCGTAGCTGAAGTCGCAAGGACGATGGGTTGTAGTCGACGGACTGTTTATGATTTACAGACGCGTCTACAGCAAACGGGTACCACCGCTGATCGCCCTCGGCCAGGTCGACCACGTGTGACGTCACATGCAGAGGATCGTCAGATTGTCTTACGTCACCTCCGTAACTGATTTTTGACGGCTACATCAACCAGAAATGAACTGTTTAGTGGTAGACTGAGTGCGCAAACTGTTCGAAACTGTCTGAGAACTGCTCACCTTCAAGCACGACGGCCATACTGCGGGCCGATTCTGACTCAATTACACAGACGTCAACGTCAATTGTGGGCACAGCGACACTTACGATGGACTCAGAGGAATTGGAATCAAGTCGTCTTCAGTGATGAATCCCGATTCAATCTTCGATTTGCTGATGGTAGGGCTAGGGTGTGCAGGCGCCGTCATGAACGTTACGCCCAGTGTTGTGTACAGGAAGTTGACAGATTTCGAGGCGGAAGTGTCATGGTGTGGGGTGCTTTCTGTGGCAATGCACGTTCGAGGCTTCATGTCATCCGTGGCAACCTCAACGCTGCTGCTTACCGCGACCAGGTACTGGCACTAGAACTTCTGCCTTTTATGGCAGCACATGGACCCGGTTTGATCTTCCAACACGGCAATGCCAGACCCCACACAGCAATTTTGACAAGGAATTTCCTTCAGAATGCGGGAGTCAACGTCATGGACTGGCCGTCAAGGTCTCCCGACCTCAATACCATCGAACACGTCTGGGATGCTCTTGGCAGAAGTCTGCGCACTCTCCAGAACCAACCACAGAATTTGCAAGATCTTGGCAACATTTTGCAGCAACAATGGCGTCGTCTTCCCAATCATGTGTTCACAAGCATCACAAGGTCCATGCGGAGGCGTTGTGTGGCAGTTGTCAACGCACATGGTGGCCATACACTCTACTGAACTTGTGTGCCATCAGATTCTCGTGCTTGGGACTTATGATTTAAACTGTTGATGTTATTACCGAATACCGTAGGTGCTTGGAACAAAATATGGTTACCACCGTTAATTAAAATCCTTCTTTGGACATTAATGATTAAAAATTACCTTCTCTGATACATTTGTCCGTTGTATATCATATATGGGATTACTTTTGAAAAAATGTGAAGTTTTTAATTTGACTCAGTTTATGTAGACTTAAAATGTACGAAGAGTTATAGTACCGGGCGAGACCTGAGCCTGGGCTAAAGGTACCCTGGAGTGTTTGAACCTAGGCTCAAATCAATCTTGAGTGACATTAAAAGGGATTGATTTGAGCCTGCTACACCCGTAATGGATAAAACCAAATTGACCCAGGTCAGGTTTTCAATTTCAACTGCATTTAGCCCTAATTCAAACTGTAGTTGTTTATGACGAAAATATGGCTTGAACCAAGTCCCGTCTCCTGCGGCATGTGTCACAACACGGAAGGCGTTCTCTGTATATGTACACAGGTATGTCGAATTCCCATTCATCCTTCCTAGTCATGTACTTCCTCGCCAGGTGGCGCCAGCTGAGCTGGAGGATGTTCTGTTGAGTCACCCCGGCGTGGCAGATGTCGGTGTCATCGGTATCCCGGATGTGGAGGCAGGAGAGTTGCCCAAAGCCTTTGTTGTCAGGAAAACAGGGTCAAGGACAATAGAACAAGAACTGCAAGATTTTGTGAAAAGTAGGAAACACAATTTTACACACATATCATGGGGCGAGCGTATTACTATCTTTTGTTCATTAGATGCTTATTGTCTTAACGCCCCACTCAGCAATATTCGTTATATGGCCTGTAAATAATCGAGTCTGGACAAACCAGTGATTGATGCCAAGTGCAAGTCCCATGCCATAGGGGTGCGATGACATGCAGTCAACCATGACTATATTTTCTTGGGATAAGGCTTGTGAATAATAATAAGCAAACACTCGGCCTCGAAAGCTGGAAAATACATTTGTTTAAGCTCAGACAAGTATTAAATGTCAGGCATTTAAACAGTTTGAAAGTATGTGAACAGTTGACTGAAATATGTCATATATTGAAGAAAACATGTATATAAAGGTTAAATACTGCAATAAATTTAATTATCGTTCTTATGCTGTTACACCGTTTAAAAAACAAATTGATTAAATGTGGAACATTTAAACCCTTGACATACGTGGCTTTGACTGATCAATGTGAAAATGAGAATACAGCGTTTCAGTCATGAATCAATGTAACACCGAATCCGAGTGTGTCTCATTCAGCGCCTTCCCTCCTTGCAGGTAAAGTATCTGGGACCAAGAGACTCCGGGGAGGAATGACCTTTCTTGAAGAGATTCAAAAGAGCGCCAGCGGCAAGATCCTCAGGCGAAAAACACTGGGTCAAAGTTGTAAAACAGGAGCCTTAGGGCACAGAGAAAGTTGGAAGTTAAACAAGAAAACCATAAACACTAACATTAATATCACAATACTGATGTACAGACATACTTAACGTCTCCTATTTTAATTTATTTATAAATCCACTAAAACAATGGGAACATTTTAAGAATACGTACCCACAAAACGACAGATATTATAATTGGAACCACATGATTAAACTGATATGAACTGTTTGAAATTGTGTATATTCAGTAAATAAATTGTATACTGCTTAACGTGGTCGTATTGCCATGTTTTGTCCATTCTGTCAATCAGCACTTCTACAATAATGGTATTGATAGTTATTATTGATAAACAACTGCCTCTGTTGTCTAGTGGTAGAACGTCCGCCCGGAGAGCGGAAGGTCCGGGGTTCGATCCCCGACCGCGTCTTACCGAAAGATGGTAGTTGTTGTTACCCCTGCCTGGTGCTCGACATTACGGGGCACGACATTTTATACACAATCAAAGATCTATAAATACATTGTTTGTTTTACTTTGTTTGCAAGAAGCCAGCTATGAGGTGAGGTGAAAATGGTTTGAACGTCGCGTCCAAGATTATTCCATTTATATAGCGACGTGCATGCAGGTGTGGGTATGTGTGTAGCTGCTTTTGCTGGTCCGGACTGATGCCGATTTATAGTGCTAGCTCACTGAGATACCAAGCCGCAGTTTAACATGAATACCCCACTCAGACACAGAAAACTGACTCCGAGCCGACCAGTCCTTGTTTCAGCCCCTTAATGCCGAGCGCCAGACAGTGTAACAATAAGTACCATCTTTTAACGTCTTTTGGTATGACGCGGCCGGGGATAGAACCCCGGACCTTCTGCTCTCAGGGCGGACGTTCTACCACAATACCACGGAGGCGGTCATCCAGCTATGAATGTGGTATATGTTTTATGAGTGTTCAAATTACATGTGAGCACCAGCATCATACCCGCGATCGCGGATTTCACAAAAGTGGTAAGACCTGCATCACATTGCTCTTTAACCCTCACTTTGAAGTGCCATGACTCGAAATCATTTTGTGTATTATGTCGTCATGTTTTCATTGTTGTAGGATATGTCTATGGGGAGTATTATGAAACATATGACATAAATTTTGGTCAACTTCACACCAGGCATGATAATTTAAATATTGGCCAATTATACTCTTCGAAAAAGAGAAACGCTAAAGTGTTTGTATGTTTTATGTATCATATAAGTAATCATCAGATGGTATTCGATTGTTCAAAATTGGCACACATTGTCACTGACCCAGGTTCCATATGGCACACATGGAACAGTAGATTTTCAAGGTGAAGGTCATCAAATCTTGTATGGCCACCATTAAAGTCCAAGACTGACTGGCATCATCGTCCCATAGAAGCAATCAGATCCCGATCTGTGGCATGGTGAATGTTCACCAATTCTGCCTGCAGTGCTTGTACCAACTGTCGGAGGTTCAGTGGTTGTTGCTGACGTGCTCGCAGTCGTTGATCCAGTCCATCCCGGAAATGTTCGATGGGGTTAAAATCTGGATACCTGCAGGGCCTAGCAGAACCTGGATGTTGTGATTCCTGACAAAGGCTGTTGTCTTGCCGTGCGAGGTCGGGCGTTGTCTTCTTGGAAAATTACCGCTTGTTGCATAATGGGAAGGACGTGTGGGCCGAGGAATCTCATCCGTGTAACCTTGTGCCGTTAAATTCCTCAGAATTTGCACCAAGTCTGTTCCACCAGTGTAGGAGATGGCTGCCCACATCATCACACTACCATCGCCAAATCTGTCTGTTTCCTGTATGCAGTTTCGTGCATAACGTTCCCCACGAGGCCTACACACACGACGTCTACCATCCGCACGGCGAAGCATAAAACGTGACTCGTCACTAAACCTAACTTGTCTCCATCGCAGTTGTGGCTATACTCTGTGACCTTGACACCATTGACGTCCCAGCCGACGATGCAGGTCCGTCAAAATGACACCTCGAACCGGTCGTCTAACGCGAATACCTTCACTGTCTGAGCTGATATCAAAACGCAATCCTTGTATTGCCGTAGTTGTCGAGAATGACGCGGTGCTTCTTTCGCGTAAGTGACGTGGACGCATGAATATGGCCTGTGCTCTCGTAGTGATACGTGGTCGACCAGATCTGGGAAGATTACGTGTTGTCCCGTGTGTCTGATAACGGTCCCTGAGTCTTGTAATGGTGCTTTGTGCTACTTGGAAAATATTTGCTACAGTTGAAGCTGATTCTCTTGTTGGCAGCCGGCCAATGGCGTTGTTGCATTGGGCTTCTTTTACTCGTGGCATGGTATCGCTGTTCACTTCTTGTAAGACTGTGATGGCATGCAAATGAAAACCTAACATTTTTATTGACTAACAAGTGATGTTTCATGTCATGTTGGTTTGTTTCGTCGCCAGGCTCTCACGAGGTTGTGATTTTGCGATTTGTCCATCTTTTCACTAAATTTCTACAATATCTCATACTTTCCATACAAATCAATCTCATTCTATGCAGAAATGGCCAATTCATTTTTGGTATTAATTTTGTATAAATGTCCTGATTTACGATTTTACCACTTTTCCGTTTCTTTTTACACATGAAATGGGAGAATAGAACTGTCGAACAATGCAAACCAGATGACCCCGCCGTGCTGCCTTATTAATCTGTGGGCAAAACAAGTTACAGTGACTAAGTATTAAGAATGTCTCTTGGAATGATTTTGTGTTCCCTGCCCGTCTCGAAATGGCGTGCTTAACACCAATCTATCGCAAACATGAAGCGATGGAACGCAGAATCAAGGGCTGAACGTTGAATAAAGGACGATACATATAAAGACAAAAACAAAAGATTAATAATTATTACTTCCCATTTCACGACATCTCGCTGATTGGTTACGACATCTCGCCTATGGCTTAACGATAAAAGTGAATGACCCACCTGGATGAATTGAAGTGAACCTCCATGCTAAAACTGAAATAATATTAAGGCGGCATTCAAAAGATTCGTTTCAGGTCTTGTACATTGGTCGCTCAGAGATGGTTCCAATCGTGTTCTGATTCCTGTGTGTGGAATCTTGGAGAATGAGGAATGCCCTATATAGAGATTACTACTCGAGTACGTGTCTGTCAGATACCATTGATCTTACAACGAGTTGTTTCAAAACGTATCTAACGAGCGAAAGCGAGTTAGATACGCTTTGTAACAACGAGTTGTAAGATCAATGGTATCTGACTGACACGAGTGCAGTAATCTGTTTCTTACACACCCTAAAATCGCACCTTTTTAACATCGAACCGATGAATTTTGTCTATTCTCATGATTGCAGTAGCGCATTAATACATGTAACACCATTGTCATAAGTGACGTCATCCTATGTGCTGCTTACTACTCATAAATAATGTGACCCTACACAAAAAGGTTTCCGTCCTATCTGTGGATTATCAAGGCGATGATGAAAATGCAAACTAGACAAAAACCAAGAACACGCTGGGTGCCAAGTTGAAAGTTTACACCGCAAAGAAATTACCAAATATGTACAACAATGTTTACTTCCGTATGACATCACTACCGGTGACCGACTTTTACAAAATGGCGTGTTCACTGACAACAGTACGCGGGATTTCCAGAGGAGGTTTTCGTTGATTAAGAGATCGTATACACATAAATGTGTCACGTAAGTATTCAGAAACATTCTGACAATCTGCGTACTGTTATTTGTTTACCATGTTTTCCAATGTAACAGAGAATTAGTCAGAAATGCAGATAACTAGGCCTACCGTCATCGTTGTGCGTGATTTAGCGTCAGTCATGGCGTCACACAGGACGGAAACTTTTACGGCTTCTGTTGAATTTACCACATCATTGTAATGTAAATATGTGTAATTCCATAATTAGTGCAACGATACTCTTCCCATGAATATTCTCAAACGCGTGATCGAGCCAATGTATGCAACAATTAGACGAAAGTACCTCTTTTAATGCTACAGTGTAAAATCTGAATTTTGCTTTGTTTACATTTCAGCAAGTACAATTTTCCGAGCACAGTTTTCGTGTCCATACCTAATTTATTTCGCATGATTTCATCTAGATAATTTGCATTGGTGACAAAGACCATTTATCCATTGTTTCGAAAATGTATGAGGAATTCAGGGATGCATGTATAGCAGCTGAGTTTGAAATATACCTGATCGAATATAGGCGTCTCATAATCGACATTTTGTAAACACAATCCAATATGGCGGAACGTACACTTCGGCGTTCGTGTGTGCATATTTTCCGAAACATTCTAAACTATTCTAGGCTTATCAGCGACGTTTCAGAGTTATCATTAGTGATTTGATACCCGTGATCGCTAATATGCTATTTTTCTACTTTAATTATTCGAGTAAATATCCGATATTTAGATTTCTAAACACACAGTAAATATTTATATAACGCCGTGAATTGTGATTTGGCGAGATTTACTATGTACCTAACTTTCAGTCACTTTCAGTAATTTTGAATTGCCTAAAATGACAGTAAATGATAAACAGAAGGGGGAATTTAAAACTGTGAAGTGTCTGCGTGATGTATTTTGAACTTTATTCGATTTCGAAGTGAGGGTTGAAGAGAAGGGACATGTGTCGCTGTGGCAGCCAGGGGGTTTACGCTCTGAAAAAACGATAATGTTGACATAACAACAGATATGATGTAACTGATAATAATAATAACAAACAAACTCGCAGACGAGGACGAGTTTGTTTATTTTTTATTATTAATTACACGGTCCTGTTGTTCAATACAGACGTAGGTGAACATTCGACTGAAGCACGAGCAACTTATGAATGACTTACACTCAGGAAAGTAGTCCGTCATCATCTGACCCCAGGTAATCACCATGGAGTAGCCAATCACGGGCCTGGAATTCGATCTCACACATATGTTTGATACCAGTTATCTCAAATGGGTTTCTCACCCACGGGTGTGTAAGAAACAATGCAATTAAAAGAATCAGTAATGACATCGCTTTGTTTCTAAAAAACACCCTTAGCCCTTAGGATCCGTTTGTCTTAGTTTCGAAAGCCAGACTGGTCTCGATTATGAACCTTGGCGGAGGCGAGATCGGATTAAACATTCTACCTCCTTCAGCTGGTTGCTGATATGCCTCCTCCACCCGCCCCCGCGGTGTTACAAGGAACGTTACAGTCCCAGGAGCAATAGAGCCGTTGGTTGAGCCGCCTGTGGTGTTTCTTCTGGAGTGAGTGAGTGAGTATGGTTTTACGCCGCTTTAAGCAATATTCCAGCAACATCACGTCGAGGGACACCATAAATGGGCTTCACACATTGTACCCATGTGTTGAATTGAACCCAGGTCTTCGGCGTGACGAGCGAACGCTTTTAACCTCTTGGCTACCCCACCGCCCTGTTTCTTCTGGATTTTCTAGTGGAACCGCTGGTAAAGCAACTCCATAAGAAGCTCCACAGCCAGCTACTCCAGCACTTCTAGCAAGCACCACGGGCGTAGCAGTGCTTCACGGGGAACAATGCGACAAACAAATTGAAAGTCCGTTTAAAATATTTATTGTATACATATGGTAAATACATAAAAGGTACACATATTTTATACATTAAAAATATATAAAAAACAATCTCTCAGAGAAATCTCACATCATTAACCAGAGGTTAGAGTCTTGTACATCTTTCGTAACAGTTTCTGGATTTCTTCAAGTACATTGTCTGTGCATGCTCATCCTCCACGAATCCATTTGAAAGGTTTCGGTTGACAGAACGCCGTGCCACCTGGAATCTGTAGAAACAGCACTAATTACATGCATATTCAATATTTCATTTTTCTGTATCAAACAATTTGAAGACAAAACTAGGAATTATTGGGAGGGACACTAGTTTTAATACATAACGGCGGTTAATTACAGGCCGTCGTTATAGAGCTGGACTATTGCTGAGGGCGGCGTTGAACAACACACACACACACACACACACACACACACAAACACAAACACACACACACACACACACACAGAGAGAGAGAGCAACAACAACGAAAAACAAAATACATACACACATTTAATCAGATATGCTGCCTGAAGCAAGCATTATGTCTTCTACAGAAAAAAAGGTTCACATATGTACAAAGAACATTTTTCCAAATAGTTTGAAATGAGTAGATGTTGAAGTGGCACTTACCAAACATCTACACTCGTAGAACATGAGGGGGTCATCGTCCGACTGGATGAGGTTGGAGGTGCTGAGAAGGAGTGGGGTCCGTAACGCTCGGTTGGTGGCAGTGCCCACTCCTCTCAGGACAGGGTATCGGCAGTTGGGCCCTGGCGAGAGGAAAGGCAAGAGGTCAATGCTGAGACAAAACTAAACGTTTCTATCCACAAGATTGTGTGACTTCAACTTTACAATAGTAAACTTTCCCTTTATGGTAGACAAAATTCCAGCAGCTCCACATTCTTTTAGGTACAATCGAGTATATTCTTTCTACGAAGACTTCAAAGAGCGTCATATGACTCTTGGTCAAAAGATATTTCATCGGGGCTACAACATTTAAGGCCACAGTAAAGCTTTGAAAACGGTTTATGGTAGACATAATAGACACGAAGAGGTCGTTTCCTAATTTGGCGTATCATTGATGCATTCTCTGTTTTGACTAGTATCATAATTATGTTCCCGTGTTCAAGGTGTACAAGTGACTTGCCATTGCATGTGTTTGTGACGGGTGCCACCGGTGGGACAGGATACCCTAACTTTAATAGTTTTGTCGCTTTTATTTTAATGATGATGTCAAAGCGTGGTACGAAAGGGTTAACATAAGCCCCTGGGTAGCTGTGCTTGTCTTCAGAACGACAACATGGATCTTGTGGTCTGGTGGACTTTGATGAATGTGTGTGATTGTGTCCACACATCGGACGTTGCTGCTCATATCACTGGTTTGTCCAGTCTTGAGTGCGGTGTCAAAACACCCGTATGTATAACAGTAAAGCATCGCCTATCATTAACCATTGATGAAGCGCTAGGTTGTCGCGCCGCCAATGTCCCTTTCGTAAACTACGGAGCAATAAAATGTCAAAAGGACCAAACATTCAAATTTCCAGTAACAAAAGTACATGAGTGAGAGTGGGTTGGGTCTAACGCCGCTTTAAACAGTTTTTCAGTTATATGACGGCGTGTCAGTGTAATGTGGGAGGAAAGCCCGAAGTGATGCAGGTCTCAGACGTATACTCTTTGGTAAAACCCTTGGGCACGGGTATGGTCCTGACAAACCTAGAAACATAATCGGGGCGAACGGGATTCGAACCCACAATCATAGGTTTTGGCCGTGCCCAAAATATACTTGAAAAATCATTACATGAATAAAAACGTCGTGCTTACCTCTAAGGCATCTTCGACAACACTCCCCTCTGATATGAACACTGTCCACACACACAGGCGGGGTGCAGATCTTCGTTGTACAAGTGGGGTGGTCAGTGTCTACCTCACACAAGCACTGACCACAAGCGTCCCCGGGAGGGAAGGGGTAGGACTGACCGATCTGGTAAACAGTACCCCCTGCCGGACACCCGAGTTCTTCACAGCAGCAACCATCAGCAGACCACTGTACGGAGAACATCAAGCATTAGAACTCTCCATTCCTAATGTCGTTTAAACATAATTAGGTATATCAACACATACAAGTATGTTTGTTTAAAACACTATGACGAATACATGCTTACAGGGCACTGGATCGAACAGTTTATTGAGAGTGTTTTGTAAATTTTGACAATGTATTAAACATATTTCAAACATCGACTAAGCCGAGCGAATGCGCCAAAAACATCATCCACTCTAGCACTTCTTTCAACTAATCATTTTTAATTAATGTAATGAAATGAAAATTCGTTTAAAGGCACAAAAGCTTGATTCAGATTTTCAATATATGAAGTAAACATGATCAATGCTTCTTCGTGGATATTTAAAGATTAACATGCGTGCTGTTTTATTAATTATTAAACCTGAATAGGAGAACCAGCATGGTGTAACAATGACAACGGTAATTACCTTTGAACATGTTTTGTTGTGGTACGGTTTGTAAGGGATGGCGCATTTGGGGGTCTCGCAGACGCTCCCCCGGGTCGGGTGGCAGTAGCACTTCATACACCTATCCTGCCACTGTTGGCCGGCCTTCACTGCTCGGTGGCTGCCGTCGAGGCAGATGCGAGAGACGATGAAGTTTTCTTTGCCGCCTGATGCTGGAACGACAGCCGCCGGTACCACCTCCCCAACAACAAAAGTAAAAAAGACCATACAAATTATCGACGTAGTTGAAGTCATGGTGAAGCCCCCTGATGTCTGTCTCTGTGTCCTCTTCTGGTCAATCGTTTTCTGAGCGTTTCCTTTTTCACACCTTTTTCTTTCAAATAGTGTGCTGGTTCTTTTTTCAACCGATCTTTTATAGGCCAGGACAGCGATGTGTTTTTTTGACAGCGGGCGGATCATGACGTGTGAGTGACGAGGTTTTATATGTTCATACGCATGTATTACTACATATCCATCCCTTATACAGGTCGCCCCGGGCATACATAATGTAGAACAGATCACTTCTTGTCTTCAAAACAGAGAAACAGTTTGTTGTATATGGCCTAGACTGACCCGTCATTCTTGGATTTGATGTCATGAATTTCAAGGTTGGCTATGGATGCATCATGAAAAAACAAGACCGTGATCCGATCGCGTCAGGGAGCGGTCAGTTACTGAGGCGTCAATCGCTGGCACGAACACGATCTGCAATGATCATTAATGTCTTTACAATACAAACAGCTGGTGTGCGCGTGTGTGTGTGTGTGTGTGGGGGGGGGGGGGGGGGGGGGGGGGATATGGTTTATTATTACGAAAATCATGATTTAAACGAAATATGTTTCACCAAATTATTGTGATGTCGATGCAACTTCGAGTTGACGTCACATGACCTACTTCCCACGACATTCCTGAGGAAATACTACAAATATGTTTTTCAACGTGTTTTATGCGTCACTTATATAAAACACGTTTTTGTAATGTAAACAATTGTATAAAAAATGAAACAGTGACCCCTAGACGAGTGAAAAGCTGTACACCATGTTTTGTTTCTGAGTATTGTAGCATAGAATGGGAAACTGAGTGACATTGTTTTAGATTGGAACGATTGGAAAACAAGACAAAAAATGTGAAGACCCCCCAAAGAGGTCATATAGAGCCATATCAGTCAAAGTGCACCGAAACTTTATGTTTATACATACTGAGAGGCAAAAGAAAGTATACCGAGTTGCTTTTTTATGTAATTGAAAGAAGTCTTGTTACATTTGATTGTGTCTATTTAACGATCCCACATTCCTGCAACGGTTTGTAAAAAGTAAAAAGTCTGTGGCTGGGTAATTTTGTGGAAAAAATGTATTGGTTCATTGACCATTGGCCATTGGTTCATTTATTTATTACCAAACAGAATAAATCTAAGATACCCATCAACAGTTATGTATTATGTGATATTGGGTTTTTTAAATATTCTATTACTTTTAATTCAATGCGATGTAGAAGTATTCTTTGAGGGCTGACTACGTGCCAGTAAAAATGTTTATTTTCTCCTATATAATATCGCTATCTTGATATATTTTTAATTGAAAATCAAGCATATGATAAAAGTATAATATATTTGTCGGCTATCATCAAATATACACCAAAATGTACATATGTTTGTCAGATGTCATCAAATATACACCAGTGTGCCGTGGTACAAAGCGATCTTAGCGCTAAGGTGATCGGACTCCCATACCTTAACATAGACTTACGACAGTCGTAGCGCTAAGGTTGTTTTGTATAACGGCGCCCAGATGTATACGTGTTTGTCAGACATCAGATATATACGAGATACACGAGATACACGAATATATACGAGAGTAATAAATGTTTGTCAGATGTCATCAAATATACATCACATCTACTCATGTTTGTTGGATATCCTAAAATATACCCAAGATGTATATGTGTTTGTCAGATGTGAAAAAAACAAAGAATAAATGTTTGTCAGATATCAAATATACACCAAATCTACACGTTTGTCAGATATCATCAAATATTCACCAAATGTAAACATGTTTGTCAGATATCCTAAAATATACATCAAATGTATACATGTTTGTTAGATAACATCAAATGTACACCAATTGCATACATGATTGTAAGATATCATCAAATATACACTAAATGTATACATGTTTGTCAGATATCAAGAAATATACACCAAATGTACACGTTTGTCAGATATATACAAATATACACCAAATGTATACATGTTTGTCAGATATCAACAAATATACGCCAAAAGTACACATGTTTGTCAGATATCCTAAAATATACATCAAATGTATACATGTTTGTCAGATAACATCAAATGTACACCAATTGCATACATGATTGTAAGATATCATCAAATATACACTAAATGTATACATGTTTGTCAGATATCAACAAATATACACCAAATGTACACGTTTGTCAGATATATACAAATATACACCAAATGTATACATGTTTGTCAGATATCAAGAAATATACGCCAAAGGTACACATGTTTGTGAGATATATACAAATATACACCAAATGTATACATGTTTGTCAGATGTCAAGAAATATACGCCAAAGGTACACATGTTTGTCAGATATATACAAATATACACCAAATGTATACATGTTTGTCAGATGTCAAGAAATATACACCAAAGGTACACATGTTTGTCAGATATATACAAATATACACCAAATGTATACATGTTTGTCAGATGTCAAGAAATATACACCAAAGGTACACATGTTTGTCAGATATATACAAATATACACCAAATGTATGCATGTTTGTCAGATGTCAAGAAATATACGCCAAAGGTACACATGTTTGTCAGATATATACAAATATACACCAAATGTATACATGTTTGTCTGATATATACAAATATACACCAAAGGTACACATGTTTGTCAGATATATACAAATATACACCAAATGTATACATGTTTGTCTGATATCAACAAATATACACCAAAGGTACACATGTTTGTCAGATATATACAAATATACACCAAATGTATACATGTTTGTCTGATATATACAAATATACACCAAAGGTACACATGTTTGTCAGATATATACAAATATACACCAAATGTATACATGTTTGTCTGATATCAACAAATATACACCAAAGGTACACATGTTTGTCCGATATCAACAAATATACACCAAATGTACACATGTTTGTCTGATATCAACAAATATACACATATACTGACATAGAATTCTAACACCATTCACCGCAGTAAACACCTGCCTTGTGTACCGACATGTAGTATAGCATGTAGATCTTCTTTCAGGGACACTTGCGTGTATATGGATATGACCCGTGAAGATCCGGGGTAGACTAGGTCTTCAGCAACCCATGCTTGCCGTAAAAGGCGACTATGCTTGTCGTAATAGGCAACTAACGGGATCGGGTGGTCAGGCTCGCTGACATGGTTGATGCACGTCGATCATCGTATCCCAATTGTGTGGGTCGATGCTCATGCTGTCAATCACTGGATTGTCTGGTCAAGACTCGATTATTTACAGACCGCCGTCAAATAGCTGGAATATTGCTGAGTGCGGCGTTAACCAACAAACATACAAACAAAGCATATGTATATACGTACAGAAATATGTGTATACATACTTCCTATATAAGGCAAGGGACCGACCATTTAATGTCCTGTGTATACTCAAATAAACATCCTTTCCTATCCACGTTTTATTAATCGGGACATTGCAAATCAGGATGACTTCCCCAGAATGGCACAGACCGTTAAGTCAGCTTTCACTTTATATTACGGATACATACTACTAGAAGCAAGTGTCTTGACCGCCTTATTAAATATTTTTAGTTTGTATAGCAATGTCATCATAACGCCAACATTAATGAACAGCAACAATTAACATAGAAAACAGGCAAGAATGACAGACACCTGTCAGAGCCTAATTGTCGAAGTACATGACACTATTACATTATATGTGTTTACCGGATGATGCCTTGTTTAATTCTTAAAATATTCGGGCGGGACCAATGTCATACATCGCTGTCCCAACCCGTTCCTGCTCACTGGACACACTGTAGATGCCACAGCGCAAATCTGGTGCACCTGCCTATCTCATGACAGCAACACTTAAAAAAGTACTGTTTTGGTCATTCCCGGTATTCAAGATGTTAAAAATTAATAGGTCAGACAGGTGTCTTCCAGAACACACAAACGTTTCAAAAGAACTTTATGCTGAAGTAAGATGAAACGAAAATGTTTCAAAAGAACTTTATGCTGAAGTAAGGTGGAAGGAGAACGGCTTCTTGTATGCTTCAAGGTGTATGCTTCTAGAATTACTAGAACAGAGGCCTGGGTCCTTAATGAATTTAGAGCTATTGAACTGATACATATGTATGCTTGTAAAAGTTTCCTTTCCGTATAACAGTGTACAGCGAGTGTTATGGTATATAGTGAGTGTGGGCGTGTACCACGTTACATATTTAAATATGTTAGAATTCCTAAGTATTGGTTCCAGATTCTCAAAATTTTTAGATTACCAAGAAAATGTTATAATATGAAAACATGGAATTCGAAATTAGGCACATGATGAAATTGGGCACAAAATCGTTGAGAAATGAGTGGAGCTGTGTATATGTGTACCCAATAATCAAGATTCGTCCCAGTTTTCATATATAATTTTATATATATATGAGTAGTGCACATCCCAGTCAACAAAAAATGTTGTCGATTATCTCAGCAACTGGTAATTCTACCCTGAAAACTCAATCAATGTTCATTTTCTTACCTAGGTTAATTATTATATGAATTGTTACAGTAACTTATATTTGCAACCACTCCCGAAAAATGATTTGTAGTGTGGACCCGTGGACTTTCAGTCTGGAATAAATCGATCGATCCATCCATCCATCCATCCATCCATCCATCCATCCACCCATCCATCCATCCATCTATCCATCCATAGATCCATTTAATAACTAGAAATGTCTTTTCCCATAGATATTTAGAAAGGGCAAAAAGCGTTTGTCACAGATGGTCTTGGTGGAGTTGAATTCAGATCAGCGGCAGGATACCCTAGCGGCAGGATACCGCTAGAGCGTTGGTTCATCACGCCGAAGGCCCGGGTTCGATTCCTTTCAAAAACATGATGTTCTATTCTACAATTTTTTGTTGTCTGATTTAGTTCAATCGAGCAATAGCCGTCAATGAAACAGTATGTTCCTTGGACTCAAGGCACTGTATATGTATACAGCCGGAAGGGTACACGTTGCTTCACTGGCTCTGATAATAACTGAATCATTCATTTTGACCCTATCTAGTGCTTTTCGTCCTTACACATCGATTGAATGACTGATTCACGGGACATTCAGCATCCCACGTTGTTATCATGTTCTTCAGCTGAC